TGACGATTTGGCCTGTTTGGCTCTTGTTATATTGAAATTATTGTTTTGAGGGCCCAATCGCATAACGACGTGCAGCATTCAAGTAACTATGCCGGAAATACGGCGTATAGACATCGCTGCTAATTTTGGTTGTCGCCCTTTCTAAGAAACGGACAGTTGTCAATGTAAACAAATACAGTTTACTCAAACCTCATGATACCGGTGACTCCACGGTACCGGTATGCGATATTATTGTCAACGCCACCTACCGAGTGTTTATATTGACATGTTCCCAGTAATATTGGCTATTTCAAAGTTTTTAAACATTTTCATGAGTTTCTGAAGGAAATATTTCACATATCCTACCTTATTTTTAATTTACTATCATATTCCTCCATTGCATAAATTGGTCGCTCTACAAAACACTTTTTTCCCAAAAAAATAAAAAATGACAGGTGCTGACGTCATTCCACTTGACCTTTTGAAATCATTTTTGGCGGGGAAAAATTAATCTATGGAGAGCCATTAGTGCATATAAAATAGTTTGTGAAAATAAAAAAGTCAGTTTCATTCAGTCTTTTAAAGATATACTATGCTCATCTTTTAGTGCAAAAATTTAATCACAGAAATTTGTTGAAACTTATGAAATTCTAAACTGAATATGTCTAACTTGAATAAATAAACTATGTATGGGAAGCTGCGTTCCCTATAGCGGGTCAAGTAAAGTTGGTCTTTTCTTAAAACAACTGCCAGTTGTTTTAAGACACTATATATTTATATTGTGACCACCAAAAGTTTGTAGAATTTTAAACATAATATATCTAATTGTATGAAGTAAAAACCTGTTAATTTTATGTCTACAAAGGGACTGTGTAGCAATTATCAATATTTTCGAATATCAAATTTGAGCATAGTATAGGGAGCCTGTGTAAAGTGCCATATTGATATTTAATCTTCATAATATAGAAATAAAATAGATTCAATGATATAAAAGGACCAGATAATCACAACAACACTAAAATTAAGTGAAGGGGTGTTTTTGAATCCAGCCACATGGTATAATATATACACCTGTAATTGGGAGTAAATGATTCTAAAACAGAGATCCCTTGGGGTGATAAAAGAGGAACAGTAAACTATTGAAACACACGTTTTCATGTTGTTTTTTAGTTTGTTTTTTATATATGAATACAATTATGCTAAAATGATATTTTTGCTGTTAAAACTGCAATGGCTTTCCATATAAATAACAATTTTTACCAGTGCACCGGTAGCATGAAGTCTGTTTAACTACGTCATACAAAATGGTCGACCATTGTTTACTATGGTAGTGAGCGAGAATTTCATAGTAACAGAACTCTGTAATGTATTTTTAAGAGGATTAGATGTTAATGAAGTTGTTTATTCCTTCTTTTTTTCAAGTCAATAAAATTTTATTTGAAAAAGACCTTGTAAAAAATATGTACACCGGTATCCTGGAGACCCGGGCTACTGTACTGTCATTCAGTTTAACACTCCGATTAACTTACAAAACTAGATAACACAAAATGAATATGAGAAAATGTTGTTTTATTTATGTTAATGTTGATAAATTCTCTTTATATTTCTTTGAGGGAATAATGCTTAGTGCCTGATTTTTTTATAAACTTGTTTGCTTGAAAAAAAACCGATTCTAATGTCACTGATCTTTTTTCTACCGTCAATAAGAATTTCTGAGGGTCATGTTTTGTCTTTGGTAGAGGGTAGAGTAATGTAACGTTGTTTTTTTTCTTGAGATAATAAATCTCCAATGTCAAGCTTTGTTAAATCAATTAACTCTGCAGACGTTATAACACGGAAAAACGTGCGTTAACCCTATATTATTACATAAACCGCGGTGCAGGAGTGTATTGTTCAATACTGAATTTATTGCACGGGTTGAATAAAATTATATTATGCGAGCCTCTGGCCTATTTTATTCAACGAGTGCAATAAATTTAGCAATGAACTAACGCAAATTTAATATTCTATTTATCACATTCCCAATATAAAGACTGTTTAAAGTGAAATAAAAGTCATTTTTCATTGACGCGCCTATAGTATAACGCTAACATTTAGTGTGTCTTTACACTATGTTTGTATAACGCTAATTCTTGCATATCTAACAGGATTATCTACCGTTTACACCGGTGCTAGAAAACCCTGTCTTACACCCCCCATGTAAGACAAGTCGCGTGCTTTAAATGACGTCAGTGCTGCGCGCCTTTTATTAATGAATTGCGTTCTTAGGATGACGTCACTTAACCTGTAAGTTCACACGCTACTATTAGAAAAAGTGCGTAATGAGAATATCAGTTTTCGTAATTTCTGTTCTAAAATAATTGATATGTAATATGCAAGAAAAAGAATCAAACACTGGCTGTCGGTGCAGACGGGAATATCTAGCTCTCGGGTGACTGTTTAAGGCGGAAACTCGACAGAGCCTCGTTACCGCCGTAAACAGTCACCCTCGAGCTAGATATTCCGGTCTGTACCGGCAGCCGGTGTAAGATTCTTATATGACGTCACGTCAAAATATATGCACGGCCGTGCAATACCATTTTTACGGAGTCGCAAAATCGGCACGGGTGTGCGATAAAGCTATTTAATAAAAACGATATTACACTAGTATATATAGAGGATATTGAATGAGTGAAGATTAATACTAAATTTATTGAACGAGTTGAATAAAATCATATTATGCGAATATATTTCGATCTTACACTAAACTAAACAAATTTTCTTTTTATTGTATGCAAAGAAACGTTTTAAAAAGACATTAAACCTAATACTGAATGAAAAGCGCGCCAAATAATAATACAACGTGACGTCATTTACGACGTCACGTCATTAAGTTGGTACCCAGTACTTAGTCTGGAGTTCCTTCTCCTTATACTACGTTACTTTTCGTAGCTAATGTAGGCAGGGAACCAGACTACCCAGTACTGTGCACGCTGAAACAACGTAGGGGCTTAAATTCAAAACAGTGAAATGACCAAAGTGGTATTTTCACTGTTTCAAACAGTGAAATTACCAGTTTTATATCACTGATATATTTCTTTATTTCATGCTTTCCAGTGTTTTATTGTAATATATCAGATGATTATATTCTGATAAACCACTAGTGAAATTTATAAAATATAATTTTCACTGTAGCCGGACTATATCTGAATGCGGATGAACAGATAATCATAACTAGATGGAATAACAGGCAGAAATAAATGCCGTCATACGTAAATTTTGCTTCTTTAGGAAAAGAAAGTCCATGTCATCATACATCATGTTAGAAATTTAACAAAATTAGAGAAATTTAACGGAACTAGATTTCAAAACTGATGATGTGACGTCATGATATTATGACGTCACAAAGGAGATGCGAGACGTTACGCGGCAAAATCAGTAAAAAAAATAGCTTGAAATCACTTAAAAAGCATAAAATAAAAAGAAAATTTATTTGTTTTACATATAAGATTGAAATATATTTCATTCGTGAACACCAGCTATTATATTTTCACTCGTGGCTACGCCACTCGTGAAAATATTGTATCTGGTGTTCACTCAGTGAAATTATATTTCAATCTTACATGCAAAACAAACAAATATCCTCTATATAAACCACCGAAAAGCATGTAATAAATTGTTTAAATTAAGTACTAAACCTACACTCATTCAATATCCTCTATTTATACGATTGCATGTGCTAAAGACTTTAAAATCTGTTTCCAATATTGCATATACATTTATAAGGAGGATTAAGTATATGCACTACATGTATTTACAATTAAGTGACAGGGACGCTGATCATTTCCACAGCTTTATTTACTTTGTAGGCGGGGCTTAGTATGCTAAGTGTTCTATCCCATGATTCAAATTATCGAATAAGTAGATTTCAGTAGATCTATACAATAAATATTTTTTATTATACAATATATATTTTCAAATATAGAACATATAAATAGAAAATTATCACACACAAATGTTTTTTATGATGAACAAATATTCAGCTGGATTGAATAAATATTATGGTATACAATATAAAGAGTTATGCAATATAAATATTGGATATAGAACAAAAATTTTATTTATTGAATATTGCAACGTTTAACATGCCATAGAAGTGCTACTTTGGATCATTTTGTTTAGAGAAGGAACACGAGCATGGACAATTTGTTAAATGAGAGTAGGAAAAAATCTTCGGCTGGCGAATTTTCAGCTTCAGGTACCTCAACCTCTGTAGGCGATGTAGGCACAGTTTTTTTCTAACTTTCATCCCCCTTTCCTTTGGATGGCATCTCTGCTGAGTTTTTACCAAATGACTGATGTCAACGTGGTCAGGCAGTTTATTCTCATAAACTTGAAACCGGAAGAATCGGTGCATTAACGTGTCACCGGGACAGTACCGCATTAAAAGTAGCGTTACCGTGGCAAAATCGGCGATGGTCGGGATTGACGTCAAGTCGTGTCTCCACCGTAATCAAGCGGGAATACACCGATTTAGCATCGGTGCTTATCCGATATATCCCGTGCTATATCTGGCTCTGAACATGGAATACACCTGGGCTCTGTCGGGGTGTGTAAACGCAATTTGATTTCTTAGAAAAACACCACGAAACACCCCGGTTCACCGGCTTAAGACACAGTACGCGATACCGTGGCCGGCCAGTACCGGGACAGTGTTAATTTGGGCTTTATCAAACGGAACCTGCAACATTTTCAATTTTGCCGTTTTGGACTTTCTTTAGGGGTTCTTTTTTTCTCTCTATTTTATAAATGACTGATGTTCCTCAACACACATCTGAACAACTAAAGTATTCAAGGAAAATATATAGCACTCAAACCCGCTGATCCGGGGCCCAAAGACTAAACAAAATTTATACAGTAAACCAGTGAAATAACAATTTAGCTGATGCTTATGAAAGATTATACTTGAAGGTCGAATATGATATTTTGTATTTCATATTGTTTAATAATAATGATAATAATAATAATAATAATAATAATAATAATAATAATAATAACTTTATTTACCGAAGGTAACACATTAAGACATATATACAGATTGCAACATCTTATTAACAATGCGGCCTTCTAAAATAAAAAATAAAAATAAAAACACACACACAAAAGAACACATATCAATCAAAGAAAATATAACATGTAAAAGAAATGATTAAATGGTTATCACAATTTTAACATATATTAACACATATACTGAACATTCATACAATTCATTTTATTTATCATTAAACATAATACTTTCATCAGTGCATCATTTTAATCTGCAATTTAAAAAGTAAAATTAACTTACAAAATTAACAAAATTAACACAGTCAAAAAACTTGAAACTAAGACAGACACCCATTATTAGAAAACATAATAATAAACAAGAGGGCCATGATGGCCCTGAAGTCGCTCACCTGTATATAGGCCCCCGGAGCGGGGCCAGTTTAAATCCCAGGGCTTTTATTTGAACTTGGTAGACACCCATTAGAAGATGTTTCATGCTAAACATCTAAGGTCTAGCTGGTCAAGTTTTTTCTTTACACATATAGTTAAAAACAATGACACACCTGGGACAGGGCCAGTTTTGACCAAAGGGCTTTTATTTGAACAATCTTTGTTGACACTTACTAGAAGATGCTTCATGCTTAATATCTAAACTCTAGCTATATGAGTTTCTTCAAAGAAGATTTTTAAGTTTTTGCTATATGCATATAGGGAAAATCAATGACCCCCTGGGGCGGGGCCAATTTTGTCCCCAGGGCTTTTATTTGAACAAACTTGGTAGACACCCATTAGAGGATGTTTCATGCTAAATATCTTAGCTCTAGCTCTTTGGGTTCTTTAAAAGAAGATTTTATAAGTTTTTACTATATGCATATAGGGAAAATCAATGACCCCCTGGGGCGGGGCCAATTTTGACCCCAGGGCTTTTATTTGAACAAACTTGGTAGACACCCATTAGAGGATGTTTCATGCTAAATATCTTAGCTCTAGCTCTTTGGGTTCTTTAAAAAAAGATTTTTTAAGTTTTTACTATATGCATATAGGGAAAATCAATGACCCCCTGGGGCGGGGCCAATTTTGACCCCAGGGCTTTTATTTGAACAAACTTGGTAGACACTCACTAGAAGATGTTTCATGCCAAATATCTAAGCTCTAGCTCTTTGGGTTTTTTAGAAGAAGATATTTAAAGTTTTTTTCTTTTGGTTGCCATGGCAACCAGAGTTCTGCATGGAATTAAATTCTTTGAACAATTTTCAAAGGTGACCACCAAAGGAACATTCCTGTGAAGTTTTGATGAAATTGGCTTGGTGGTTTATGAGAAGATGTCATTTAAAGTAAAAGTTTACGGACGACGGACGGACGACGGACGCCGGACGAAAAGCAATCACAAAAGCTCACCCTGTCACTTTGTGACAGGTGAGCTAAAAACACATGTATGAATATAAAGAGCGTATCTTGTATATTTAATACATACGGACCGTGCTAAAGTTGATTAAATAAGTATTTCTTGAAACTATTCTTAAATATTTACAATTTTGTTTTTCTTCTTATAGTCAGTGGTATGGAATTCCAAATAACCATGGCATTAAATTGGAATGTGTCATTAAAATGATTAGTACGTGGTTTGTAAGACGAAATTAAATTTCCGTGAGATATTATTCTTAGATTATACTTTTGATTATTAGATATGGTAAGTAAGTCTCGGATATATTGAGGGGACATATTATTCAGTGCTTTATATACTTGGACACCGGTGTGAAAAATACATCTTTTCTTGAAAGGCAATATTTTTAATCTTTTGTATAAACTTTCTGATTGGTTTCTCATTGGAAGGTCTAGAATAATTTTGCAAATTCGTGTTTGTATTTTGTATATTTGGCATATATATTTTTTGTTTTCTTTTCCCCATATATTACAACAATAATCAAAAATAGGAAGAAGGTATGCATTATAAAAAAGCATACGAGATTCCTCATTTAAAAAGTACTTTATACGCCTAAATAAATTAACTTTAGAGTTCAATTTTTTTACACACATCATTTACCTGACAGTGCCAATTGAGTGTATTTTCAACATAAATACCAAGCAGTTTTTGTGATTCTACATTGTCAAGAGTTGAGTCGTTAATTTTCAAATTTATTGCTTTTGCAATCTTTAGCTTTTGTCTACTATATACCTACCAGCATACTTTTAGATTTTTAGGGTGTAAAAGCATATTATTTATTTTACATCACTTAATAATCATATTAAGGCTATATTGTAGTTTTTCCTCTATAACTGATATGTCATCTCCAGATTTAACACAATATTTGCATTATATCAAAAGGTATGAGGGGCCTCCGTGACCAAATGACTGCTAACTTTATTTCCTCCCGATTGAACGATTTTGAGAAATGATTTTTTTCATTCTTTTCGGCGTTGGTTAACTTTTTTGGTTAAGTTTTCGATTATGTTTTCGCCTTGATTAACCTTTTGGTTACGGCTAATTGCTCAAAAAAGTTCAAACATATTCACTTTAAACATAAAATACTTATTTCATATAAAAGTAAAATGTATTTCTAAAGGAGAGATCTTGAAAGGCATTTTTGCTTAATTATCTCCCTTTTTATATTTTTTCCCCAAAACCATCACAAATATTCACTTCAAACTTGAAATATTGATTGTATATCAAGGCAAAAATTTCATTTTAACAGAAACGGCAAATACGTGAAAAAATGCACAGTATGAAATGCACGGTCAACACGAAAATCGACAGACAAGCTTGGTCTTATTCGAAATGTGAAGTGTTTTGGGCCATTTTGAAATCTTGCATTTAGCATTCGTGTAGTATTCTTGATCATTTAGTATTCCTCACAGGTTTGCTGATCTGCGGTCGGGTGTTAGATATGAGCGAATTTCACGATAAGCAGATATTATCATATTATATGCCGGCAGCTGAGTGAGCAGATGTCAAAATTAGAAAACGTACAGAAAATTAAGTACATTTTACCATTTGTCAAACACTATTTACGCTTGGACATTATGGGAAGTAATATTTCACTCGTCAAGTCGCTTTATACTATGATAGATTCTCTATAAGAATACCAATAATTAATTATGTTCATATTGGCCTTGCTATTTGGTTGAATACAGCTAGCCGTATTGGCCAGGGAATCCAGGCTTTTTATATTTTATTGTCACATGATTGCTAATGCTGTAATGAAAATCTTAATCTGTTACGATTTCAATGAAATTTAATCTGACATTTTCGAAAAAAACAAAACAACACAAGACATACATTATACATGTGTAACGACAATATTAATTATATCTGTAACCACTTTTATGCTCGTAGTTTTTTTGTCACGAGTTTGATTAGAACTTTTTGATTTCTTATCGTGTTCTAACGCGCATGTCGAGAACATCATAGTAAAATTCAAATGACCATAAATACAAAACATAGGCACTATAGAGTATTTATTTTAAGAGAACTTTATTGTTCAAAATAAAATATGGAACAGATGCGTAAAGTAAACATTTTTTATATTTATTGAAGAATCAGTATGAATGAGCACTGCCTCTCTGGCGTTAAAATGGAAATAAAAACACGCAAATATAATAAAAGCATTTAAACTGTTTGTGCAAATAACATGTTTTATGCTTTCAAAACTGATTTTGTTTATCTACGTTGACTTCTGTACCAGATTCTATCTAACACATACCAGGTTGTCTCTTAGGATGCCTCTTCCGGCTGCGAGACGATTTGCCTCCTCAGCCTGCTAGGCCATCATTCTGCAAACTCAGACTGGCCGTTAGGCTGTCTCTTTTGCTAATTTTACAGACATGTTTGTACAAAAGTATTTACATAACAATGTAAATTTTGCAGTTTCATACAAATGGTAGACAATTGTATAATTAATTTATCAATATGTACTTGTATAAGATCAGGTAAAAATCGAACGCAAAACAATAAACATTTATTTATGATATGAGTATTATCGTTGTATAATTTGCAGCGCATTTCCATATATGATAAAATCACTCGTTTTCAAACAGGTATAATTCGTCTTGAGTAGGCAGATTTAATTGATATAATACAATAATAAAACTCGAGTTCAACATCTTGCGACATTTAACGATAGTGTTGCGACATTTAACGGTAGGGGAAATCCGTGCGACATTGAACGTTAACATTGCGACATTTAACGGCAAATGATTTTGCGACATTTAGCGGCGGTTGCGACATTGAGCGGCAATGGTGCGACATTTAGCGGCAAGTGCGACATTTAGCGGCGTTGCGACATATAACGGCGCCACAACCAGTGTCATCAACAAGATAAAAGTTAGGAGTATTCTTATATGAGCCGCGTCCAGCAATTTTCGTCCCTGTACAGTTAGAAATGATCCCCAAATAAGGCCATTAAACGGCCACGTGATTACTGCGATAAATTTGTCATGACCGGATAACATTACTTTAAAAGACATACAGTTTCCTATGAGTGATATACAAAAGATAAACTTAAAAGGTCAGAAAAAAATGAAATGGACGATTAGGACAACTAATGCTACACGCGGCTCATTTACATTTGACAAATTCACAACCTAGATTTATAACAAAACTCTAGAAAAGAAGAAATTATCGCAAGCATGTGGCAGTTGCTCAATGTCACAAAGTTTTCAATTCATTAATGTATGAAACTCATATGGAAGAATATCTTAATATTCACAATTTATTCAACAGATTCAGTCTTTTAATATCTTTAAACTGATCAGGTATTTCCATCAAGGCCTGAAGTGCTATTGCTGCTTGCGGATTTCTTGCTTCTGATTTGGTTTTGTGAAATTCTACAAACTGGAAATTGTCAAACTTTCTCTCAGGTAATTTATTATCAAAGTCCCGCATAACTTCCCATGGTCCGTCACCTACACCTATTACAACAATTGAGAGAGGATAGTTTGAGGCGGTTACTATAGCATCTATTGTCTCCTCCTCGCTAGTTACCTGACCGTCTGCAACAATCACTAGAATGTGGTACTGAAATATGGTACGTAATAAAACGTAATTAATATACTGTTTGATAAACAATCTAACATTAATGTTATCAAATGAAGATAAACTACGGAGATATACGCAACAAGAATAGACTTGATATTCTTCATTGAATTTGATTTTGACATTAGTGATTTGTTAAGTCCATTCGGATCTGGACAAAAGGAGGACACCTGTAAGATTGAAGATTGAAATTGCTGGGAAATAAAATCATTAATGTGCAGTTTGACTCGTTTTACTAGTAATTTAACAGTAAAGAACTTACTTTTATTGGGGAGGGGATTTTTTTCCCTATTTTCATTTAACAAATATCTAACTTGGCCTTAATATTCATCATCTAACATTGTAATGAATGTTTAAAAAACAATTGTAGCTCATACGAGTGCTACCAACAGACCGTCTTGCACATTGCTTGTTTTAACATTGTCATATAAATTAATGTAAATTGTTCCATAATGCAGGTTCTGTTATACCATAAATTAAAACGTATATTGATAGTTTTTCATTATTGTGTGTAGTTGATGGTTTTTTTGTTTTTGTTTTTTTTTTCATTTTAAAAATACCTGTTTTTCTTTTTTAACAATATCAATAGCTTCTTTTATAAGCGGAGCAAAGTTAGTTGGTCCTCCAAGTTTAATTGATGGTGTGACTTCATTATATACATCTAACACTTCGGCAAAACCATCACATTCTCCCTGTAAAATATAAATCCTCGTATCACAATAATAGATACAATGTCATTGTATTGGAAATAACCTCATGTTATAGGAAGGAAACGATGCCGTATAACTGGTAACAATTGTATACAATGTCAAATTACTAGTATTTGAAACAACTTTTTATCACTTAAATGATGTCATGTTATCAATGGAAATAATGTAATTTTGTTGGAAACTGTATCATATCAAAGGATGCACTGCCATATCATTGAAAGCTACGTCATATCTTTGGACACTAATATGATAACATTGACAGTCATGTCAAATGGAAAGTAACATCATATGTTAGGGATGGGAGAACATTACTTCCAGTGCAAGAAGTTGCCGAACAGACAATACAACATATGTTTCAGCACTCACAGGAAAGAGATTCAATATATGTCTACAGCAAACAAGTAAACTCAATGGTGGAATAGCTACTGTGGTTTAATTGTTAAGGCTCCTTGGATAAATATATGTATATGCCAACTAGAAGGAATTATTTGTGACGTATTTAAGCTGAAAGCATTTTATTTTCAGAGATTATCGCAAAGCGCGGCCAATGATGGAGCAATATTTTATCACAAGGCCATAATTTATTTGATTTAGATGATATATTTTTACAAAAAATTTGGATGGGCAATTAGCAATTAGACAGAGCATTTTGTTTTCAGCTCAACTAAAACTCATTTGGAAAGTTGGGCACGTAAAAAGTGTGTCTTAAATTATGCACCTGTCTTTGTATGTGAACGGGAGGATATCTTTGTATGAAAAAAATGGGAATAACTTAATTAAAGGAGAATATAATATTTTGTCATATAACACAACTTCAAACGTGATAGTAAACAATTGATTAGGTGAAATACATTCTAAAATTGCTAACAAAACTGTGATAATTGATTATATATATTACCTCAGTCTTCAATGGGAATATGCCTTTATCCTTGACCCGTCTATCACCGAACCCATATGCTGGTATTATACCATCATCATCTAAAGGTTCTAGAGTCTCACCAAGTATACATATAACCTGTCATATAACCGAATAACATATGAGAAATTAGTATTTAATATTACAGTGGTATATGCCTTTATATTAACAGTAACGCATTAATATTATACAAAAATAGCCTAGCATATCCAAGCCAATGGGTCTGTTAGTCCGCTTTAAGTTAGATATCTCAACTGTTAACGGAAAATAACAAGAACAAATGATACAGAATATAAATGGTTTCAAAATGATTCATGGCATAATAATATCAAGAGAGTTATTGTCGGAATCTTAAATGTATAAACTCATATGCTTGTTGTGTTAGCTCGACACTGTAGGGGTTATATGGCGAGTTTCGTGGAGGAATAACTCAGGTAAATTAGCCGGTAACTGTGTAGACCCACTGACCTTCCGTAGAAAAATATAACAATTATTCAGTTGTTATTTCATACTTTGAAGATGAACATGTAGTACAGAGCATTGTATAGTCTCTCCGTTTTGGTCGCCATTATCATATCACCTTATGTGCTATTTAAGGTGCAGCATTATTTAGGGGCTGGTTTTAATCAGAAATTGCAAATATGTAATATCCCTGTGGGATAGATTTCTCCCTTTTCACTACAGTGACAAATATTGAGCATTTTAATCATTATATAATCAAACACGTGAACAAAGTAATTTGTAATACGATTACCAACCTCCTGGTATGGATTAACTTTGTCATCAGAAATATCATGAAGACTGGAACCTCCGAATGTTATCTGACCTTGCAATTTGTTGCTTAATGTATAATCTATACCTGAAAAATAGGTTACAAAAATTGATTAAAGATACACATTATTATAGTAATAGCCTAATTATCCAACAATATTGACCCGTCACTTCATTAACTTTCGTAAAGGTCATTGGATAAACAGTGGTATCTAACAAATATATCAATATATTTGTGAACTTCACACGTCTGTAAGGTGTGCTGTATTGGTATAGATTTCGGACTACCGATCTAAAGGTCCTTGGTTCGATTCCTAACCAACTACATGTTATGAAGATACACATTCTTTAGATTTACTTGCAATCTGGTGTTAGGATACCAAAAGAAGAATTTGTTTATACAATTATATTTTTATATTTCGTTACATTATCTTTAATAAAAAGTACAGCGCGTCTATTATACAAATCAATAAATCGACTTGTCGACTTCACTGTCAGTGTCAGTCGTATTGCCCATACTGGCAGTTTTAAAAGAATGGCAAGTTTGAAATTATGTCATTTTTGATTCTCAATATTTCGATTTTTTTGTGTATTAATTTAATATTGTATATATAAACCTACATCAATTAAACAGCTATTTCTAAATATGTTAAGTATACAAAAGGAATGGACCAAACAATTTTGCAACAAAATGGCGAGCAACGTTATATCAAGTTAATGTTAGATTTAGCAATTATAGAGGATTATAACCTACCCAATAGTCTTACAATGTTTATTTTACTTTTTCTTTGAAGTGAAATCTGCATGACACTAAACTGTCTCAATACGCTTTAAAGGGACTCCACTGAAGTTTTTTGACATGGCGGGATTGGCTACGCTTTTCATTCAAATTGGAATAAGAATAACACAAAAATTCGATTAATAAGTATATTTATGAATCATCTTTTGCATATCTGTCTGTTAAGAGTGCGATAACTGGTCTATGTAAGAAATTCAATTTGTAGGCTTTGAATGTCAGTGGAGTTCCTTTAAAACAAGTTAAAACTCACCAAAAATGAGACCACAATTATCAACACCTTCTTGTTTTATAGCTCTACTAACTTCTTCTAGTGTTTCAAACCTGTCAATGTTAGATGCAAATGCTGGTTCACCACATGTTGATATAGAATCACTGGCTAACATCTTTGACTCTTCTCTCTGGGGACCTTCAGGGCGCGTACTAAAATTGTAATTATATCTTCTTAGCTTTCATTGAAGTATGAATAAGAAAATAATGAAGAAAACCGTCATGATTCAAGAACCAATCCATTATACAGATTTATAAATTTATTCAAGTTAAGTATAGATAGTATATTACTCCTACACCAATGTATGACACTCAACGAGTAAAAAAATACAGGATGTAAAATACTCGGTTAATCTGAATTATTGGAATTTGTTTTCCTCTGGTTATATTTCGGCAAAATTTCATTTATGGTGCCTTTATTTCAGTTTTTAATTAATATAAAAATGTATAAAAAAAACCATAGATTATCCAGGCATTTGCGTATTGCCTCGTCTAAATCCATGTCAAAGCCGTTGAATGTGTTCACATGTTCACTTTTATTTACTGTTTCATAATACACAGTCCCATTGCAAATTGGTCAGACATGTACTCGTATTGCAACGAAAACATAACTAGCCATTTTATTTACATTTAGTCGATAAATACGACATATACATGATGATTGTATACATACTAACAAACATCCACATATATCACAATAATGCATAATTAACCTCAAATGAAAAACGGGTCCTAATCAGAGATCTATTCACAAATATTGTATTACAGTGTATATAAGTGCGTGCATATTCAACAACTTTAACCTGATATCAATAATAAAACATGAAAAGCCAAACATCCTTATAAATATTTTTTTTAAAAGATATGAAAAAGTGATACTCTATAAAGTCGCCAAAAAAGTAAGTAATCGCCTATCAAGTTTACTGATGTAAATAAACTTAAATATGTTAAATCTGTTCAACATTATCAATAAATAACAGCATGGTCGTTCCGTAAATGTATATAACCTTTACCACGCCTAACCATCTTCAATGAACTTGTAAATCTTCCAATCTGGACAAAGGAAACTTTTAAAAATATTTACTGATGGGTAGAATATGTGCCTGCAAGAAGGTTATAAGAGGGTTACATCAATCAACATTTTGCCAGGTTATTATAACTAATGATATAAACGATTATCCAACGATAGTCAACATTACAGACATGCACCAGTTCTAGTATATTACATAACTATAGTCTGTCCCATTAAAAATGGAAATGAACTTTTGCCTGGTGTGAATTAACAAAATGAGGTTGAATGAAAATTTAACTATTTTTGTAAACTAAAAAAAAGTCACCCTCGAGATTTTTCAGGATTTTACTCTAAAATGTCTACTTTTCTTGTGAAAGCAAATTTTGATTTCTCTATGGAAAATCTCTGTTGTTTATTTTCCGTAGCCATTGCCGAAGTACTCTTCATTTGAAGATGAACGGGAGAAAACACGTGTTATGTTTCTAAAATATACATGAGGTTCTCGGGGTCGTTTCATGATTATTTTACAAAGCTGGATCTACAAGATGTAACAGTTTAGTTGCAATGCATGATGAAAAACTTAAAAAAAAATGAAAAATAAGCAACAAGAACACCGAGTCAAATGGATAAAATATCTCGAAATTACACTTACTTTTAAGCTGAATAGAATTCCTATGAATTTCGGAATAGATATTTATAAACGTCCCATCTGAAGATTCCTTCATTGCCAGTATCTATCCAGTTCCGTAGATCCGATTTTTTCTACTTCGAAACTCCTAAATGACATGACTCCTACACTTGTCACTTATGATGATCCAGATTTTTTAAACTGTTAATCCGTCTCATTATTAAAACATTGTTCAATTTGTGGAGTTATCTGGGTTAGCAAATGAAATATGTAAATGAAACACATCATAATTCATTATGTTCCAAATCCATAATTCAAGAACGGCCCATCAATTTTAGTTGTCAACATCACGATGCTTATTTACTCTTGAAAATGGATTCCAGACGAAACTTTATTACGTCAACAACAATTTACGAAATATATGACGTAACAAAAATGCCTCGCGATTCCAGTTGCGGCATTGACAGAGAGCGGCTAGGCATTATGTAACCTCAAACAGATAATTTTAAGCGTTGAGATGAATTTGTCTTGATGAAATTTAAAATAATTTTTGTATACCCAGATTTTGCAACTTAACTGTAAAAATACACCTTCAATTCATATATGAATAATAAAACTTTTGATAACATTTAGATCATCTAGATAATTTTAAACACACTTATTGACATGAATCTACAACAGTACAATACTTCTTCCATTAATTACATATTACATTCGCTTTGATTTTATGTTTTAAACTATTTTACATATTTCTCAGAAATAATTTCCCTACATATAATCTCGTTTTTCATGACTTCTGTAAATCCTACTATTTTAGCTACAAAATATACAATATGCCGTATTTTAATCCCGCGAAAAATATGCTAGATCTATTGTATTTTCACTGAATATTTTTAAATTTTAGGAAGGCTAAAATTATTGAGAAAGTCACTCGGTGTTTCTCTTTGACTCGATCTCCCCTTCATATTAACATAATAATTATATGTAACACTTTGAGTCTAAAAAAAAACACACTTATTGTCGCTTATTGAACACTCCAATTCAATTTATTCAAACTTATTCTTAATAATATCAAATCAGTGAAATCACTGACATTTTGTTGAATTGTGAGACGGGAAGTTAAATTTGTATTTACAAACTTAAAGTGTATAGGCCTACGTTTGATTGCTAAAACTAGAAAGCATGATATTATATTCTTATAATTTAACATTTTCCTCGAACGCAAGTCTGTGTTCTCTCATTAGCCAGGGAGTTAGTTAAAGTAGACACTGTGGTAACAAGCAAAGCAATACTGAACATATAGTGAATCAGTTTTCCTTTCTATATATTTCTTGTCAGATTTACATGATAATGTAGTATTTGTTGGCGATTTTTTGTGAAAGTTGAAACCTACGGAAAGTTTTAGCGCACGGACATCGCACCCGAAATAAGAAGGGTAACATATTTTTGTATCCCATCGAACCTGGTCAATTTAATTATTTTTGAATAGAAGTGATACATACTAATGGACAGAATTCAGACAACTAAAGAATTGTGTAAATTAAACATTAATTAGCAAAGAACCATTTTTTATAGTCTTCTAGCTGGGTCATGTGGGGGTTACGTTCATTGAACGCCGCCTTTCCTTGTTGATATTGTTTATCATATTCTAGCTAGTGTTCCCGCTCCCTACGACATGCTGCGGTAAGATACGCACTTTATTGGAAAGCTATCTAATCAAATCACTTCATTGTTCTTTTTTATCTTAAAAAATACGACAGTTTATCATGGTTATTAATTGATGTGTGTAAGAATTTATAAAGCGGTTAGCGATATTTTAGCTTTAAATGATTTTGATTATTTTAATAATAGTTTGCTAGTAAAATTGCCTTTTTGACACCAACTTTGTTCTCATTTTTCATTTTAATGATAACATTTAGCTATTGATCAGTAAGTAAATAAATATAATCAAATTTTTATAATTAACGAGTACATTTCACCGTAATTGTGAGACGAACCCTAAATGACGTCTATATGGGCGCCGCCATTTTGAAATGGACGTCACGTCAGGTTACAACGTAAGTCAACGGGGAAAAATATAATTTTAACATTTTGACCATATTACTGACTTTATGAAAAAAATGAAAAACATGTCTAGAGATATTGACGTCAGGGTTAGGATGACATTAATTTAAATGATTTTACTATTATATTAAATAAAAAATGGAATGTTCAAATTTGATGGGACAGACTATAATCACATTCAACAACTAATAAATTTAGATAATCTGTAAATATACAAAGCCTTACCTTTTATACTAAGTGAAGATATCCAAATGCTCATAAACAAATGGAGAATGTATTTAAACTAATTAAAGTTGACATATGGCAGACTAATTTGAATTGTGCATGTAATGTATCCCAGGGGACACGTGCTTGGTACGAATTAAGCACGTGCTTTTGAATGACAAGATAAACTTCTAACTAGTATAACTGTAAAGGTAGGTTTCATATCTTGAAGCTTTTGAGAATTATCTGTTTTAGTACAAGTTCTTGCCATATATGAGCCGCGTCATGACAAAACCAACATAATGGATTTGCGACCAGCATGGATCCAGACCAGCCTGCTAACAAACCACCGTATAGCAAGTAGAGAAACTGATAGCGAACAGGATGGATCCTGATCAGACTGCGCGGATGCGCAGGCTGGGTGGATCCATGCTGGTCGCAAACCCATTATGTTGGTTTTGTCGTGACGCGGCTCATATTTGTTTTGTTTTCATTGTTTTCGATGGATCTTCTCTTTTCCAGATTATTTCACTGATTATTTTTTCAGGAGTGGGGCAGGGTGGCTAGGGTGAAATACGCCTGTCTTTATGTTTTTTATCCATAAACTGACTCAAAAATAGATAAAATCTGTAGGTAGACTAGCTTGACATACACATGGCTTGACTTTTGTGTTGTTTTGTTGTTTTATTCTAATGTGTAATTTTATCATTTGTGATTTTTTCCAACCTTTTTTTCAAGTATTTATAAAAATAATCGACTGTGTAGATGTGTTAGGAATTGAGTTCACAACAGGTTCGTTTAAAAACACATTAAAGTGTTCCATTTTGTCAAGATTTTTTCCCTACAAGAAATTATTATGTCATTGTTATGCAAGCTATGCTAACATTTCTTTAAGATTTTGCATGGAAATTTAAGAATTAATTTATGCAAGTTAACCAGTTTTATTTCAGTCGAGTATCTTTTTTAATTCTTATTCTTTTCAGTTGGAAAACTCTTGATTTCAAACCATATCTGTTTCAAACTAAATTTTCTTTCAAAGAAAGGAATTTGTTGATCATAGTGAAGTGCTTGTAACATAAAACTAAGTGGGGGGTATTTACAACGTGTTAAGAAAGACAAATTGTATTATAAACGTGTTTTGTTAAAGTACTTAAATTACTTTAAATCTTAAAGTTGTAAATTTCACTCATTCAATTTGGCAAAAAGTAGAAAGTTGGTTTGTTCAACATAATAACAAAGACTCTTTAAATGTGTACATGTATTAAATTTGAAGTAAATTCATTAAAGTCTGTATTTCAAATAGTATAAATCAGCTAAGATTAAAACATTTAAACATTTAGAATAAGAAAATACATATTTTTTATGTTCTTGGGAAAAGATAATAAAATAGTATAAAGTCCTTAGCAATCAAAGCAACCATATTATAATGAAAGGATAGCAGCTAGCAGAAAAAATGATACATTTTATATCGTTCAAACAATTCTTTTTAAGGCAGCTGAATACTCATCACCTGAAGAAAGTAGCACTGACTCGGAAAGTATTTGTCATAAAGGTAGCAAAATGTAAACAAAGTTGTATTTTAAGTTTCAAACAAGATGCTGAACCACTATTATTTTGCTTAAAAGAATGGCCCAGGAAATCGGCCGATGAGTATTTTATTGGAAACTATAACATGACATCAACAGAAAAAAGCTTTTCAGGTACAATAAACTCTTCTTACCAAAAAAAAAATATATTATTATTACCCCTCAATTTTTGTGTAATGTTAATTTCCCATAGGCCACTGGGAGTTATTCATACTGTTAATGCAAGTGTACCACGTACGTGACTAAGAAATTTGTACTGTTACAGGGTAACAGTATTTTTAATGGTATAAAATCTGGTCACATGGTCTAAAATCATCAAAGTTATTGCTAACGCATCGGGAAACAGTATGAATGAAATCGGGATGAAATTTTACTGTTACCAAAATACCCATGACTGTGTAATTTATATATTGTATACTTATAGAAATGCAATTTTAATTTTTCGTGTTTGCACTGTAAAAATATTTTAACTGCAATGAAACATATTTTCCGTATTTTAACTAGTACGTTGCCGGACTACTTTTTTTCTAAATTCATACAATACACATAATTAAAGGGAAAGTCTTCCGAAATGTAAGGAGTCTGATCATTGTCTACATTGTTCGTTAGTCAGTCGGTACTTGTTTTGAAATTGTACCTAAAATGATGAATGGATTTATCCAGAATGAAAGATGACCAAGATTATTTAAGTTAGCTATTTTACGACCTTACAGCGAATCATGTAAACTTCGGCTCAATCAAAGTTTTCCCTTAAAAAGACTTTGTGATTTTTATATCAGTTATTGTACATGATATATGTAATACGATTTTCAACAGTATTTTGTAATTCACATAGTACAATGATTTTATAAGTTTATGAATTTACGACGTTGTAAAATTATGAGATGTAACATTACCTGCTCTTTGAGTGTTGTTTCGTTGACATCGTTTCTTTCTTTTATTTTTTTAACCAAGGAAACATATTTAAGCTCTTTCTTTAAACAAAATAAAGTTGAAAAGATATAAACACCATTAACTATCTTAACTGCGTTTCATTAACACCTTAAGACACTATTAAATGTATTCCGCTTGTTTATCCTTATCTGTTTAATTTATGTCACTCACAAATAAAGTAAAAATATGTTTGAACGTGTTTTAAAAATCATAATATTGTAAACAAGATATCAGGGTCAAATCGATATTCAATATATATACGTTCACGTATGTGCGTTCAAAATCAATATCGGGTATTTCCAAATCAAACGATGAATAATCATATACGTAGTTTTACAATAATATTATTAACATTATGCGCTATATTTAGAATTCAGCTGATTTACTTTTACAGTTTTTTCTTCATTTGGTTTATTTTATTTTATATTGATTTATTTTTGTGAAAAGCGAAAAAACAAATATATAGGAAATTTGTTTTGAAATAGTAATTACAGGTAATAAAATGAATAACGTTTTATATTAGATGAAAGACAAAACGAATAGTACGGCCTATGTTAGACACATTAAAATAAAAATTAACCATATTTAAATATTATCAGGAAAGTTAAGAAAATAAATATCAATTGTACATGTATTCTTGTAGGATAATGCAAGGTTTGTGTTCAAATGCGTAGGGATGTAATCGACACGAGTTATTTGTTTTTGGATCAAAGCGTATACACGTACATAAACTGCAAACTTGGGATGAATCTATGTTGCACGTTTGTAACGTCCAATTTCTATGGTGGCTGATTTGGAACGCTTTTGTGCGTCGTATTGGCGCTAGCGACAAGACGACAAAGCGCCAAACGGCGCATTGTCGGACTTTTGTCGTCCTGTCGCTAACGATGCACGCCAAACGGCGCGTTGTCGTGCGGCGTGTTGTCGCGACGTCACATTGTCGCTCGGTTCAAATCAAAGGATTGGCTTATAAGCCAAGCGACAGGGCGACATCGCGCCGCACGACAACGTGCCGTTTGGCGTGCTCTGCTAGAGACAGGACGACAAGACGACAGTGCGACAACGCGCCGTTTGGCTAGCGACAAGACGAAAAGGCGATAACGAAATAGGTTGTGTTGTCGCTATAGACAACGCAACACACAGTGTATCAAATGAGCCACCATAAATTTCTTGGGATAATTTTGACGTATATAATCTAGTACAGCTGCAGTGAGTTGAAGAATAATTTCCTTTCTTCCTAAAATAAAAGAACTGTTATCAATTCGTTATTTATCTGTGTAAAAATGCTCGGGTTTTATTTTATATCATACATTTAGCTTATATTTGTTCATACTGTACAATAGAACACGTCAAATCTCTGTAACTAATAACATGTACATCGTATACATTTTAGTTCACATGACCAGTGCTACTTTTAGCTTACTCCCCTCCCTTTAACCTCTTCGTAGGATATGGGTAGGATTGTGCTGCTGGATTAGAAACGACTATGTGCTGATGAATTACTTGTATATAATGAAAACTGTGCGTTTCTTTATCTGCTTTGTTTAAATGCTTGAACAAATACAAATGAACGAAATATTTTAATATTAGCCGTGGAATTGCGTCACATTGACATTACCTTATCAAGGGGGACGATTTCACTTCTGATCAGTTATTTCCCTTTAACCTCTATAGAAAAGTTGTAAGAGCTTACTGTGCAGCATATTATATCCTAATGGCTGACTTGTTCGTTCGTTTATACGTTTTTTCGCTCGTTTTTCGTTCGTTCGTTCGTGTGTGCGTGCGTTCGTTCATTCATGCATTCGTTTGTTGATTGATTGAGTGATTGATTGAGTGATTGATTATATAATCAGTTCAATGAAAACAAAGGCTTTTCATTAGCTTTCGACGACGTTTAGTATTCTTCAGAAAAAAAATTGACGTTTACAAATGACGCAACGTCCGTTTAACTATACGCTTAACAGAACGTGACGTTAACACGAAAAAAAAAACTTTGTCAAATAAATGCAGAATCTTTAATGAACATAAATACAGCAATACACAATGAATTACACATAGAATATGGATCTGCACATGTGATTAAAAAATATCATAATTAATAATAATAATAAAACCTTGATATGAGAAAAAACATTCTACATGTATATGTATACCAGTCCACTAATATGCTTGAAAGATGACATAGTTATACATACGTTTGCATTCATACCATTAGGAGATAATGTGTTAAGCTTGTGAATCCAGTATGATTCTTGTAATAAGCGTTCCAATGCATACCATCGGAGACAATCTCTATAGGCATAGATTTAAAATCCTTAATACAATGATTGCTTTTTTTAAAGTGTGTAGCGACATTGGTAAAAAATAACGGATCTGAAAGTTCTTGATATCAAACATAATTATGGCAATTATGCGTTTAGACACTTGTTGCTACGTTTGACTCACATGTTGCTCTTTATAATGTGTGTTTTTAAGTTTGTTTATACTCGGCGCCGGAATAACCATATGTCCGAGATTATAGCATCCTTGCCGGTCCACTACGGTAGTCACATCCGGGATGTCTTTTTCATGCTGAATTTTCTGGTAGCCCGTTCTTCATTCAGTGGTGGTAAAGGAGACGACAATACTGTCAAGGCATCAACTTCCTGACCGACGATAACAAAAACGGCCTTCGTTATCGCCAACCCTCCAGAGTTAGTCACGATAGGTCAACCAATCATCTCTGGTACTTAAGGTGACTTGACCTTGACCTGCCGTGTGCCTTCGGAGAAGATCTTTACATTTATCACACGGGACAAGATATATAACATTTTCCTGGATGAACATTTTCGCATTTTTGTTATTAGACCTAACATTAGAATTAACAAAAATGTCTTTTAGATTTTTCGGTCTTTTAAATGCAACCAAAGGTTTACTTTCATGAAGCTTCTGCACTGAACATTTACTTGAAAGTTTAAGTAAATCCCAATACTTTTAATGATAATACCAATATTAGGTAAAGTTGGTTTATACTCAACAACAAAGGGAATAACACTGCCATCACTTGTTTTGTTATTAGTACACAGGGACTCATCTTGTGTTAGACTAAGTGCATCATTTTTTTTCTAGTGATTGATTATGTAACTTTCATAGAAAATCTTGGATGAACGTTATAAAATGCCCAGTTTGTTGAAACGTCCGCGCACTACTAGCATTACTGCTTGCAATCTAACCCAGCAACATAAATAACTCTAAGTATGTCAGAAACACAAAATGCAAGCAATATTCGTACGCCTATCTAAATCTGTATTATTCTGTATTTTTTTAAATATATTTTATACATTTAAACTCCATGCATAAAATAGGCTAAACGGTTTTTTGGGAGTAATGAGTAGGGAGCTGAAAAAAAAGAATCAGAAATTTAAGAAACAAGATATGTTTGTAAACATGTATTCCCCATATTGGCAACCAATTAGTCATGTGGCCAGGTAATGTCTTATGGAGGGCGATCGTTGCCAAAATTCCAGACATGTAATGTGTTCCTTTTGAAAACTACTTTTGAAAATGCGAACATGTATGTCTAGCATTTTTGATTGCATTCGTGCACAGCAAATGATATGCCTCTTAATCCAATCTTTTAATTGAAGGCACCCGCTTTTAAATAACAATTTTACATGTAAATCTTAACAACTGACCTAACACACATTTACAAGTTCGTATCTACCATTGCATATAATACATAAGCATGTTTACACACTTGTAGATTTATATATGTACCTGAAAAACACAAATGAAATGTAAAACTCGAATGCAGAAAATATAATTTAATAAAACGTGTTTCCAGTCGTAGAACTACAACAGTACATTTACACAGTTACATGTTTAAAATGACAAAAGTAGATTCACAAAGTTAAAAGATTTTAAGTCATGCATGACGCCCCGCCCCTCTCTGAGTACTTACGATTTTCTATCACGGAAATGTACGGACAGGTATAATACCCGTCGCCTCTCTCCTATTTCTCAATAAAGTGAAGGAAAACACGGCGTCCATTCTAACTTTTTTTATTTCTATAAAAAGTCCAATATAATTTGTATCAAATGAAAGATTACTCCATTAGCTTTCTATGAGTGCCTCGGAAATAAAAATGAATTAAATAGATGTATTGATTTTTTTTGGGTTTTTTTAGTCTGAAAATAACACTCTCGAATTGGTAAGAAAAACACGGCGTTCCCTCCAAACTTTTTTTTTATTTCGTAATATATTTTGATAATTTTGGATTGAAATAAAAGTGTGATTAATACGATTTATGATATATAATTATATAATGCCTCAAAATAAAAAGGAATTAAATCAAAATGAATTAACTTTTCGTTAAAAAGTTTATCATGTTATTTTCTGTAAAATAGAGAAAATAAGAATCCCTAAAGAACGCTCAAAACGACAAAATTGAGAATGTTGCAGGCCGGTTTGATTGAGCCTGCTCATGGACGGTAATGGAAAGAGCAAGTTATCGTCCACGCCCCCTAGCACCGGCTTAAGCAAAATTCAACATGAACTGGTACAATTTTGAATTTTGAAACATCCGCAGATGTGTTAATATGGTGATTATCATGGAACCTTCAATGTGACACGTAAGTGCCATACCATGAAAAACGGCATATGATCCCCAAGTAAAAAAAACAAAACACACTCTGAAATTCAGTAAGAGAAACATGGCGCCCCCTACTTACTTTTTTTATTTCTTGGTCAATTTTGATAATTTTAGAATATGATAAACAAGATCATCAAGGAAAGGCGGCGTTGATAATTGTAGACTCAAGTAAAACATTCTGGAAACAAAGTGATCCCTCGGAAGCATTAATCACAACAAAATTACATAAGAATTGCAGACTCGGTTTGATTGAGTCTGTACATGAAAGATAATGAATAAGTGCAACATCCCTCACGCCCCCTAGCACCGGATTGAGCGGTACTCAATTCTCAACACTTAATAGTGCTTAAGAATCCTTAATGAACTTTCTAGTGATGCCTTAAAAATGAAAATTAATTACGTAGAAGTATTAAAAAAATTGTTTCTAACTTATCGTTGTTTTTTCTCTCTTAAATCCACACTCATATATTCGGAAAAAAATAACGTCGCTTCCTTTAGATACTTTATTCAAAAAGGAAAATAAATATTGAATGAAGTTAAGACCATAAGTTTTGAACAAGTATATTAAAAATCTGGAAACAAGGTGATCCCTCGGAAGCATTAATCACAACAAAATTACATAAGAATTGCAGATTCGGTTTGATTGAGTCTGGACATGAGGGATAATGAACAAGTGCAACATGCCTCACGCCCCCTAGCACCGGCTTGAACGGTACTCAATTCTCAACACTTAATAGCGCTGGCATCAATGATCCCGAAAGACCAGAAAAATATAACAACACTGAAGTGAAGTACGGGGCAACTTTTTACAGCTGCCTCACGGCACTTGAAACCTGCTGTTGTGAAGTATAAAAATCTGGAAACAAAGTGATCCCTCGGAAGCATTAATCACTACAAAATTACATAAGAATTGCAGACTCGGTTTGATTGAGTCTGTACATGAGGGATAATGAACAAGTGCAAAAAGTTTTTATTCATACTGAAAATACCTTATTAAAGATTGTACATATGTGCTACGGATAAGTATTTTCTTGATTTCGGAAAGGAAATCTCGGTGGCCGCTTTAAAATATACTTGCATAGTTTTTGTTGAAAATGAAATTTGTGCTAATACATTTTTCAATGATACCAATAAGAATATTGGGTGGTTTTTTACATTATTAATAAAATTAATCCCTTGAAGTTGGTCATTGTTTCCCATCGCCGATGTTTCTCAGGAATATATGATAAACAAGATCAACAAGGAAAGGCGGCGCTCAATGAACGCAACCCCACATGACCCAGCAACAAGAACAAGTGGCAAGAAGCCAAGGCGGACCCAAAACAAAACACAGGACAGGGCACTAGGCAGAGCACGGACAGGCTAATCACTAAAATGATAAATAATTTGTAACTGATAAAAACACGATGTTAAAAATAAGGTAATGCATAAGTTATCTTCATCATAAATGATAAAATCAGCAATTTTCAAGTGATGTTGCTACTGACAAAACTTTTGTTACAAATGTAACATATATTTTATGAAAAATGACGTATGTTGTCCTTCAGTTTTATTTAAAAATATGGGAGAGGCGCCGTTTTATACCTGTCCGCAATAGAAGTTCGTAAATACTCCGAGAGGGGCGGGGCGTTATGCTTGACTTAAAATCGTTTAACTTTGTGAATCTACTTTTGTCATTTTAAACATGTTACTGTGTTAACGTACTCTTGTAGTTCTACAACTGGTAACACGTTTTCGTAAACTCTATTTTCCGTATTCGAGTTTTACGTTTCATTTTTATATTTCAGATCTATAAGTGTGCAAACATGCATATGTATTGCATGCAATGGAAGATACGAACTTGTAAATTTGTTGTCGTTTTAGATGTTAGGTCAGTTGTTACGATATATATGTAAACTTGTTATATAAAGACGGTAACCTTCAAATAAAAGATTGAATTAAGAGGTTTACAATAAAAATGGTAGGCATACAAGTTCGCATTTTCAAAAGTCATTTTAAAAAGGAACACTTTACATGTCTGGAATTTTGGCAACGAACGCCCTCCATAATGTCTTGGTGTGGTAGACTTTGGTGCCTATTTATTTCAAAATCCTTCCATGCATGACAAAATTACAGTCCGGACATGAAAGTGTATCTTCAAACTCTTCTTCAGAGAATGAATACCTTCAAACTTTAAGTGTGACCTTGACCTTGAAGGTAGGGACATGGGTCTTGGACGCAACATGTCATCTTTTAAAATCCTTCGATGCGTGACAAAGTTACAGTCCGGACACGAATGTGTGAGCCTATAAACTCAAATTATGATAACGTGAACCACAAAATAGAAGTGTGACCTTGACCTTTGAAGTAGGGACGTGATTTTTGGACGGGACACATCGTCTTGATGTCATCCTCGGTAACCCAGGCTATTTACCGTATACATGTATCAAATGTAGTATACGTATACGGAATGTGTACCGTGGGTTCCGACGATGCTTGATGTGGTAGACATTTATGCCTAGTTATTTCAAAAAATTTCGATGCATGACAAAGTTTCAGTCCGGACACAAATGTGTTATTATAGTAAATAAATTTAAAGACATAAAAATGGACTTACCTTTGTCAAAATACAATACAAAGTTACCCCCCCCCCACTTTTTGTTAGTAATGAAACTTGACCTCTTGACCTGCATATCTTACTTGAGACACTTCGTATATATTTGAAGTTTCAAATGATTATCTGCTCTAGTTTTAGAAATATTCAAGTACATGTTAAAATTTCAGAACATTTTCTAAGTCTTTTTTTAAAATTTTTTTAAAGTGTGGCCCTGACCTTAAGCTGGCACAAGGGTAAGATGGGTTCTGCACATTGCCCAGTTGGAGTGAACATTTGAGTCAAGTTTGAAGAAAATCCTTCCATTAGTATAGAATTTATAGAGCGGACACGACATTTTGTCTAGTATTGATTGTATGTAAATTTAAAGACTTAAAAAGGGGCATAACTTTGTCAAAATGCAATACAGAGTTATGAAACTTGACCTGCATATCTTACTAGGTACACCTCATATATCTTTTAAGTTTAAGCAAATACCTGCGCTAGTTTCAGAAATATTCAAGTACATGTTAAAATTTAAGAACATTTTCTAAGTCAATTTTTGACCTTCAAGTGTGACCTTGACCTTAAAACGGCACAAAAGTAACATGGGTTCTGCACATAACCTTGTTGAGGTGAACATTTAAGTAAAGTTTGAAGAAGCTTCTTCCGTTAGTATAGGATTTATAGAGCGGACACGACATATTGTCTTATATTTGATTGTATGTAAATTTGAAGACTTAAAAAGGGACATAACTTTGTCAAAATGCAATACAGAGTTATGAAACTTGACCTGCATATCATAATTGTGACACTTCATATATATTTCAAGCAATTACCTTTTCTAGTTTAAGAAATATTTAAATACATGTTAAAATTTAAAAATATTTGCTTAGTCAATTTTTGACCTTCAAGTGTGACCTTGACCTTAAAAGGGCAACATTAAATCTGCATATAACTTTGTTGAGGTGAACATTTGAGCCAATATTGAAGAGTGTAGGACTTACAGAGCGGACACGACATACTGTCTAATATTTGATTGTTTGATATTTGACCTTCAATTGTGACCTTGACCTTGAGCTGACACATGGGCAACATGGGTTCTGCACATCCCCTTGTTGAGGTGAACATTCGAGCAAAGTTTGAAGAAAATCCTTCAATTTGTATAGGAGTTATAGAGCGGACACAAAGGACGGACGGACCGACCGACCGACGGGACAAAGCGAATCCATTATAGCCCCCCCCCCCCACATTTTGTGGTTGGGGTATAAATATGGGTTAATTTCTTTACTCAGAAATAAAACGATATATATACGATAATAGTATGCAGTCGGTTGTACATTTATCTGGTTCAATATTCAAAAGTTTTTGTTCACTAGAAAAGTATAACTCTTAAAAGTTTGATAGAAATTTTACTTTTCTAATAAATATTTACCTTACTATAAGCTAAAATTTGATAAACCAGCTTTAAAGGGTAGTAATCATATAAAGAAATCAAAATCTTTTTAAATGCAATTTTCCCTAAAAATGATGAATTGTTATATCTCGATTGTAAGATGGACAATTTTATTTAATAAATATAACATGGAAATGGTTTAAATGATATTGAAACTTAATATGTTCTAATGAAGGTATTAATCGTACAAACTGTCTGTACAAACAGACATACTCTCATGGTGTGTTTGTATTTTTCCAAAGTAATTCATTAGATATTCACGCTTCAAAATAAACAATTAAATTCTTTATTAGCGTCTACTTCATACGCATTTTCTTCTGTTTATTATAATAAATCAAGTATAATGTAAAAGTGGTTTGAAAACTTCATCATGTAATGTAAACAGATCTTTCGATTTTGAATTCATTAAAATTATTATCGTTTATTTCTTTTCAAAAAAAAATATTTAAACATATTGATAAGAAATAGATCATAGATTGATGTTTTCAGAAACTGTGAAAAGATTCTTTCCACAAAATATGCACTGTTATTAAAAGCAAACATGCTAAGGGGCAATACAAAGTATATATTCACAATAATGCATTGGATGTCTCCCGAAACCTTCGTTATGTGCAAAACAAACAAAAAATGCAACAAAACTAAAAGGGCACAACACTTTATTTACATAAGAATTTATAAAACGTTAGTTTAAACTTGAAATGAATAACATAAAGAATGGTGAGAAAAGAACATGCTGAATATGTGTACATATATCATTTATACATGGCATGTAGTTATAATTTACTCTTTAAATATCATTTTTATCATTTATGACCTCCATTCTAAATTTCGAAATCACCTACACAACAAATGGTGAATTTATTGTCTAAACATTTACTGTAAAACTTTATTTTTCCCTTCAGTAAAATATATTATCCATACTTTCACTGGTACATTTGTATCTTGCCGGACTACTTTCTTCTGGATTTTTGTTTCGAATTGTAAGGGTATATAATAAATAGAAAATGTTTACACGAACTGTTTTAAATATAGGATTTATTTTTATCTTGTACATCACATTATTCTTGTGGCTACCACCACTTGTGAAATATTTATTTTCATACCAATCGACGAAAATACGTCCTGTATCTAAAGACGGAAAACTTGAATTGTCTCCATACATTCATCTATTAATTTATTACGTCACACGTAACCTCATCTTCACTAACATTTGATAAAAGAGTAAATGTTTGAACATTTTCACATTACTCCATCCGTTTGGCATCTTCAAGTCTATATCCCCAGTTTATCTAAATTCTCTAATCGTAGTGTTATAATAAACGAAGAAAAATCATCTTTTAAATATTAAAATAGGTCAGGTATACTTTAATTTTTATTTCTCAAAAACCTTTTATTTCTTGTGCACTTATAGTTTCCTAATCCTCATCGGCCAATTACCATCTTTTTCTTCTGTTGCTTTTTAGTTAGTGATTTAGTAATTGTACTGAAGTCAATTAAAATGGTACTTTGTCTACATTTTGCTTCTTTTATGACAGATAATTTCACATTCAGTGCTACTTTTCTTTTCTGAGGCATAATGTCGTTTAAGTTGTGTTGTTGGAGCAAACATCTAAATATATCAAACAACTGTTTCTGATTTCAGAACACATTTAAACGAGCAAATATAATGAGTTGTCTATAATGATCGCATTTCAGATTTTCATCGCCCGTCATACCTAGTTTAAATCGCACATGACGCAGGCAAACTCTGCAAGATCAAAGAAAACATTAATAAAATCATATAAGGTATTTAAAACGTTTCTAAAGCCCTTTTTTATGACACCCTGTATTTAAACACAAAGAAAATCAGTAAAATGGTTCAAAATAATTGCATACTCAGAAATGAAACGATATATTAAATAGTAGTATGCAGTCCGTGTTACATTTATCTGGTTCGAAATCAAGTAAAACTTTACGCCGAGTACATGTACTAAGCAGGTTTGTGAGAGCAAGAACGAACGGACAAACTGATCAAGTTAATCATTCGTATATCCTAAGTTAAATTATCTCACTATTCAAGAGGAAGGGACAGTACATTGTTAAATACATGGCTGTATGCATTTTCTACCGAAATTTAAAACATGATGTTAAATAGTAAATGTCCATGCCTTTCTAAGGATTTGCTAAGAAGACATTATTCAAGGTTAAAAGAGAAGGGCAGGAAGTATTTATATAAACTGCAGATAAGAAGAGGCTCACATCTTATTATTTTATTCATCTCGTCCAATAATTTTAGTATTAATTTACCCTCATTCAATATGTTCTATATACGCACCTTCTATTGATATATTACCATCACCATCAACATCGACCAGTTTTAACATCTCTTCAATTTCTGCTTCATCCACGTCTTCTCCAGATTTTCTCAAAACTTCGCGAATTTCATCCGCAGATATAGTTCCACTGAAAATCAAAAACAACATCTCTAACATAGATTTCTCTACAAGACATTGAAATCAATCGAGTAGAGGAACAAAATGAAAATCGACTATTTTAAAGCTTAAAATTAATGTTACGTTATTTTGGACTATGATTTTGCACACTATAGGCTAAATTAATGTATTGGAACCAAAATGTAAGTTTAACCAGTAGTACCCATTTACATGAGCGCTAATTGAAAAAAGAGACAAAATAAATCGCACGAATTAAAATATCAAATATCTTTAACTTCTATCAGTCATTGCGTCTATATTTACTTCGAGAATAGTAAAAAATGGAAATAAATCATCATTGTCGAATGCATAAATCATAGAGAAACTTACAAATAATGACATACTTTATATATTTAAATGAAAGTGTGATTGAATTTCGTTTTCTAATGATAATTTATATCTTTTCCTTTTAAATTCTCAATCAATTTTTTATTTGTAAAAGGCTTGTGACTAAGGCAATAAAGTAGAAAATGTTTCATAGCAAAATTCTATTAAATTATATTTAGAGAAATACAAAACAAATAAACAAAACGGTAAAAGCTTTTGTAATTACTTAAATAATCTTGTTTTCAATAAAACTTGCTTTCTATATAAAGTCTGTTTAAAAGCGAAATTTACGCATTGTATATATCATTTATTACCCCACATCACAATTTCTTTCACATATCGATTGACAAAATATTTTTAATGATTAAAAGTTTACCCGTTGTCCAATTCTCCTGACTAAATAATATAAATGTTTGATATTTACCTATTGTCTTTGTCAAACACCTGGAAAGCTTTAACAATTTCTTGGATTTGTGCGTCTATATCAGCTTGTCGGTCATTGAATAATTTCCTAAACTCAGTCTTATTCACATAGCCCTTCTCTGCAAAGAAATAAAGCGCTTTCTTAATCAAGATAATGTAATCAAAATATTGATAACCGACCAGTGGTTCCGGATGTTAATGTAAAATACATGTGTAGGGAAGCGTGATTTACAATTATAACTCATTAATCAATAATAATTAATGTACAGATTACGTAAAAATATCAAGCCATTTTGTAAAAAGGAAAAAAAAAAACAATACTACAATAAAAGATACATGTACTTTAAACGCGATTAAAAGCATGTGCATACGTGAAATCGTTACTATTGTTTGTTTACGGAGTCTTTAGATCTCACAATGGCGACGATTTTGTCTACCGATTTAAGCCCAATAATTAATATTCTATTATTTTTATGAAGAAAGAGCCCATCTTCCAGACGTATTTAGTTAGTTTAATGTAACACTTGCTATATCTCACTACACTACAACAAATCATGTCTTACGAGACGGGTTACAATCCTTTATCATTTGCTCAGCATCTTCGGCGGTCGGGTTCAAACCAAGTAGTCGAGCTGCCTTGGTGAGCTCGTATACCGAAATTCGACCATCATGGTTTAAATCCATCTTTTCAAATATTTCGTCAATACCTGAAAATAAATGTTCATTGTTCCATCAGATATTCATCTAATATAACTATCATATGACAAGACTAGTGTTGCCAGTAGGAGGGCACTCTGGACTATTCTAAGTGTTTAATAGTGAACCACGAGCAAGGATTATGAAGGAATTCTCAAAGGGAAGATTCGTTCAAAATCGATGCCCGAGACGTATTTTTGTTATGTTCACTAAAGGCTTTCAATCAGTCCAAACCATTGTTAGAGTTATGGGTCTTTGATAGTGACCTATATATTTATGATAAATAAAACAGACAAACAAGAAAAAAAATCATAGTTATGTGAAATTCCCCGAGGACATGTTTAAAGCTTTAAGTAGTTGTGGAGACTATTTTTCTCATAAGAAATTTTGACATGAGGGTAATGAATAATTAAAAGTACAGACTTGTTTTAATTATTCATGTCCTTGCAGTTCTAGTAGCATCTGCTAATACAACAGTGGTATTCAATACCTTAAAATATTATTGATATTTTAGTTCATGAATTATACTTTTATAAGCAAAAAATAAGCAATGAAATGTATTTAAATTTAAAAAAAAAAATAAAAAAAGTTATAAATGTTAAATAATTGTTGCGTACGTACCATCTTTTCCCTGTTTCTTCTTTCGGTCCTGTTGTTGTTTTTTCGCCGGCCTCTTACTTGAAGACATGATTGACACTGTATATTCTTTAAAGTTTTAAATTGTTTGTCTCCACTTAAAACCACTAGCTCATTTTAAATGTTGGCTGAAATAGCTAAGCGAGTTTTTATTATGCAAACCTATCAAAATTTTATAATTTTTTATTTGCTTTTCTTCCTATGAAAAGAGCAGTCTGTATTCTATTCAAATTGTAAATATTACTAGTCTTTATTCGCCTTCTTAATACATGAAATTAATCGAGCGAATTCAATCAATCGGCTTTTAAGAGATAATAACATGTTGATGTTTAACCCTCTTTTGAAACGAAATGATTGTATCAGTTATTGTGTTTATAACTTATTTAACCTTAATCACAAAAATGTTTTATTTAACCGCTCAATCATCCAATTGCCCCATGGATGTTATATCATTGCATGTTAATACAGTGTCATATATCAATTAAAATATCCATTATTCATGTAATAAATGTACGTATTGTTTACGTTGAAACATCAATTAAGTACTCTTAAATACCCTGACAGAGTTTTATTATGCTATATATAGTGATGATATTAAAACCTTTTAAACATATTAGTTTATGGATAAAGGCTTTGTTAGTTCAATCAATTAAACCATGCCGATACCCTACGTTTGTATAACTTGACTTACAAGAGTTTTTAAAATGAAATTCTAATGATAAATTATCTTTTGAAAGAAATTTTCATAAACCGATTAAACTGCTCCCGTATGTACACTGTAAAAGCCGAATGTACCTTTTTAATAGCTATTTTATAATGTAATAAAATAACATTATCATAACGGTAAAATTGCCTGTTTGATCGTTAGTTCAATAGTTTGTCAAATATTCTCATCAGTGCTTTTTAGTATACTCATAAACATAATGACCTTTGTCGATTTTTAACCAACTAACCTTAAAAAGAATAGAAGTTGTCCATGGTGTCAACTAAGTCTGAAATTATTGAATGAGAATTGATTTTAAATTCACTGCCATTTTGGCTTTGATATTTCATCAACAAGCCAAACACAATAGGTTTAAAAAAATATCACAAGAAGTTAAAGGTCCGGTCACACCACCCGAACTTTGTTGGAGCGTTCCTTGAACGGTAGGGAGAGGGGACCGAATTTCGACAACGCTCGTCACCACGCACAAAATGGAAAAAGTCGGAAACAGCGGTGCACCACTGAAGCCGGCGTTGCTTAACGTTACGGAGCGTTAGTTTAGCGGTGACGCGAGCGTTGATAGAGCGGTGGTCTGGGCATGCGGGCGTTGACTCGGCGGGGGTTTACAGTTGGTTTAGCGGCATACCGCTTTTGACTACGGAGATGAACGGATCGCTTTGAAAGAAGTTCTGATAACAACTTCATCAAATATGGCTGGTGGCATCCTCACAAAGTGCTGGAAGACTCGTGGATCCTCATTCCTCAGCTCCACCACCAGCTTGTCATACAGTCATTTTCAGACCTTCTCAGTATCCACTGTCTGACCCACACACCTCTGCCTCTCCTTTTTCTGTTTCTTCTTCTGTCAACAGCTTGTTAAATCTGAGGAGGTTCTGATTCTGCTGCTGGACTAGTGCACCAATCACAGAAAGTCTCTCAGCATCTATGGTAGTACAGTTTTACTGCAACTTTGAGCAAAGTCGATGTAAATGAGGTCTGCACTCAACGGCAGCTCAATTTCAAATGGGCTCCTAGTCCACTTCTCCTCGTATTTATAGCCAAATTCTGGTCCCGCTCAGACACCTCCACACCAAAGCCAAGCCGAGGTTTATCACCGCAATGGATCACTGTTTCACGCCCGACACCGTTCCAGCAATCCCGTGTCCGCTCGTAAAACGCTGATAACCACTCTACCAAAGTTTTTGCAACGTTTAACCACAGCCCGGACAAAGCTGGTGAAGCAGCGGTGGTCCAGCGTTCAAGATTTCGGCGTTGGTCTAGCGGAACAAAGCGTCCACGAACTTTCGTGTAGCGGTGCCAAACTTTGACTGGGCGTTGTTTGAGCGATGGTGAACTTTGCCGGTGCGGAAAATTTTCCGCTCCTCACCGCTCGCAATATGTTGTGCAGCTCAAAACTTTTCTTCACCGCTCCAGCAAAGTTCTTTCGGTGGAACCGGTCCTTAAATTAGGATTCATTTCATTTAAAGCACACGGTATCTCTGTGACTCTACAAAAAACAAATTGGGTTATTCTTTTGAAATAAGGCTACTGGATCATACTGAATTTTGGCTAAATAAAAAATTCCCGAAAGATACATGACCTTGACCCGAACAGCTCAAAAAGATGAAATTTAGGGCATTTTTATAACCCATGGTTTACCAACGATCAGGAGCGGTTGTAATGACCCTACTTCGAAATTCAATCTGATGATATTTAAACTGTTTTTGAAAACTGTAATCTGACAGCTCACTGCTATAAGCAGCCTTCTTAAACTTGTATTTCCATTTCGTTTTGGTGTATTCTGGAATGAGTTTCCTAAATGGGTTTCCGGTGATTATATTATTTAAACATAGATCAAACAGGACACACAAAACATAGATCATACAGGACACACAAAATATAGATCAAACAGGAGGTCAAAATATAGGTCACACAGCACAACTTAACATAGATCACACAAAATTTAGATCACACAAGACACACAAAATATAGATCACACAGGACACATAAAACAAAGATCACAGAGGACACACAAAATATAGATCACACAGGACAACAAAACATAGATCACACAAGACACACAAAATATAGATCACACAGGACTCACAAAATAAAGATCACACATGACACATAAAATATAGATCACACAGTCATGACACATTAAATATAGATCACAAAGGACACACAAAACAAAGATCACAGAGGACATACAAAATATAGATCACTGAGGACAACAAAACATAGATCACACAAGACACACAAAATATAGATCACACAGGACACACAAAATATAGATCACAGAGGACACACAAAACATAGATCACACAGGAGACACAAAATATAGATCACAGAGGACACACAAAATATACATCACAGAGGACACATAAAATATAGATCACACATGACTCACAAAATATATATCACACAGGACACATAAAATATAGATCACACAGTCATGACACATTAAATATAGATCACAAAGGACACACAAAACATAGATCACAGAGGACACATAAAATATAGATCACACAGGACACACAAAACAAAGATCACAGAGGACACACAAAATATAGATCACAGAGGACACACAAAATATACATCACAGAGGACACATAAAATATAGATCACACATGACTCACAAAATATATATCACACAGGACACATAAAATATAGATCACACAGTCATGACACATTAAATATAGATCACAAAGGACACACAAAACATAGATCATAGAGGACACATAAAATATAGATCACACATGACTCACAAAATATAGATCACACTTGACACATAAAATATAGATCACACAGTCATGACACATAAAATATAGATCACACATGACTCACAAAATATAGATCACACATGACACATAAAATATAGATCACACAGTCATGACACATAAAATATAGATCACACAGGACACATAAAATATAAATCACACAGGAAACACAAAACATAGATCACAGAGGACACATAAAATATACATCACACAGGACACATAAAATATAGATCACACAGGACACATAAAATATAGATCGCACAGGACACACAAAATATAGATCACACAGGACACATAAAATATAGATCGCACATGACACACAAAATATACATCGCACATGACACATAAAATATAGATTACACATGTCACATAAAATATAGATCGCACAGGACACATAAAATATAGATCACACATGTCACATAAAATATAAATCGCACAGGACACACACAATATAGATCACATAGGACACATAAAATATAGATCGCACAGGACACACAAAATATAGATCACACAGGACACATAAAATATAGATCGCACATGACACACCAAATATAGATCACACAGGACACATAAAATATAGATCACACATGTCACATAAAATATAGATCGCAGAGGACACATAAAATATAGATCACACAGGACACACAAAATATAGATCGCACATGTCATATAAAATATAAATCACACATGACACATAAAATATAGATCGCACATGACACATAAAATATAGATCTCACAGGACACATAAAATATAGATCACACATGACACATAGAATATAGATAACACATGTCACATAAAATATAGATCACATATGACACATAAAATATAGATCACACAGGACACACAAAATATATATCACACATGACACATGTAATATAGATTACACAGGACACACAAAATATAGATCACACATGACACATGTAATATAGATTACACAGGACACACAAAATATAGATCACACATGACACATGAAATATAGATTACACATGTCACATAAAATATAGATCGCACAGGACACATAAAATATAGATCGCACATGTCACATAAAATATAGATCACACATGTCACGTAAAATATAGATCACACAGGACACATAAAATATAGATCACACATGTCACATAAAATATAGATCACATATGACACATAAAATATAGATCACACAGGACACACAAAATATAGATCACACATGACACATAGAATATAAATAACACATGTCACATAAAATATAGATCACATATGACACATAAAATATAGATCACACAGGACACACAAAATATAGATCACACATGACACATGTAATATAGATTACACAGGACACACAAAATATAGATCACACATGACACATGAAATATAGATTACACATGTCACATAAAATATAGATCGCACAGGACACATAAAATATAGATCACACATGTCACATAAAATATAGATCACACATGTCACGTAAAATATAGATCACACAGGACACATAAAATATAGATCACACATGTCACATAAAATATAGATCACATATGACACATAAAATATAGATCACACAGGACACACAAAATATAGATCGCACAGGACACATAAAATATAGATCACACATGTAACATAAAATATAGATCACATATGACACTTAAAATATAGATCACACAGGACACACAAAATATAGATCACACATGACACATGAAATATAGATTACACATGTCACATAAAATATAGATCACATATGACACATAAAATATAGATCGCACAGGACACATAAAATATAGATCACACAGGACACATAAAATATAGATCACACAGGACACATAAAATATAGATCACACAGGACACACAAAATATAGATCGCACATGACACATAAAATATAGATCAAACAGGACACACACAATATAGATCACACATGTCACATTAAATATAGATCACACAGGACACACAAAATATAGATCGCTCATGACAAATAATAAAATATAGATCGCACATGACAAATAAAATATAGATCACATATGACACATAAAATATAGATCACACAGGACACACAAAATATAGATCACACATGACACATGAAATATAGATAACACATGTCACATAAAATATAGATCACACATGACACATAAAATATAGATCGCACAGGACACATAAAATATAGATCACACAGGACACACAAAATATAGATCGCACATGACACATAAAATATAGATCACACATGACACATAAAATATAGATCGCACAGGACACATAAAATATAGATCGCACAGGACACATAAAATATAGATCACACATGTCACATAAAATTTAGATCGCACATGTCACATAAAATATAGATCACACATGTCACATAAAATATAGATCGCACAGGACACATAAAATATAGATCACACAGGACACATAAAATATAGATCACACAGGACACATACAATATAGATCACACAGGACACATACAATATAGATCACACATGTCACGTAAAATATAGATCACATATGACACATAAAATATAGATCACACAGGACACACAAAATATAGATCACACATGACACACAAAATATAGATCGCACATGACACATAAAATATAGATCAAACAGGACACACACAATATAGATCACACATGTCACATTAAATATAGATCACACAGGACACACAAAATATAGATCGCTCATGACAAATAAAATATAGATCACATATGACACATGAAATATAGATCACACAGGACACACAAAATATAGATCACACATGACACATGAAATATAGATTACACATGTCACATAAAATATAGATCACACATGACACATAAAATATAGATCGCACAGGACACACAGGACACATAAAATATAGATCACACAGGACACACAAAATATAGATCGCACATGACACATAAAATATAGATCACACATGACACATAAAATATAGATCGCACAGGACACATAAAATATAGATCGCACAGGACACATTAAATATAGATCACACATGTCACATAAAATATAGATCGCACATGTCACATAAAATATAGATCACACATGTCACATAAAATATAGATCGCATAGGACACATAAAATATAGATCACACAGGACACATAAAATACAGATCACACAGGACACATACAATATAGATCACACAGGACACATAAAATATAGATCACACATGTCACGTAAAATATAGATCACATATGACACATAAAATATAGATCACACAGGACACGTAAAATATAGATCACACATGACACATAAAATATAGATCGCACAAGACACATAAAATATAGATCACACAGGGCACATTAAATATAGATCGCACAGGACACATAAAATATAGATCACACAGGACACCTAAAATATAGATCACACATGTCACGTAAAATATAGATCACATATGACACATAAAATATAGATCACACAGGACACACAAAATATAGATCACACATGACATATAAAATATAGATCGCACAAGACACATAAAATATAGATCGCACAGGACACATTAAATATAGATCGCACAGGACACATAAAATATAGATCACACAGGACACATAAAATATAGATCACACAGGACACACAAAATATAGATCGCACATGACGCATAAAATATAGATCAAACAGGACACACACATTATAGATCACACATGTCACATAAAATATAGATCACACAGGACACACAAAATATAGATCGCTCATGAGAAATAAAATATAGATCGCACATGACAAATAAAATATAGATCACACATGTCACATAAAATATAGATCACACAGGACACATAAAATATAGATCACACAGGACACACACAAAATATAGATCACACATGACACATAAAATATAGATCGCACAAGACACATAAAATATAGATCGCACAGGACACATTAAATATAGATCGCACAGGACACATAAAATATAGATCACACATGACACATAAAATATAGATCGCACAGGACACATAAAATATAGATCGCACAGGACACATAAAATATAGATCACACATGTCACATAAAATTTAGATCGCACATGTCACATAAAATATAGATCACACATGTCACAGAAAATATAGATCGCACAGGACACATAAAATATAGATCACACAGGACACATAAATATAGATCACACAGGACACATACAATATAGATCACACAGGACACATAAAATATAGATCACACATGTCACGTAAAATATAGATCACATATGACACATAAAATATAGATCACACAGGACACACAAAATATAGATCACACATGACACATAAAATATAGATCGCACAAGACACATAAAATATAGATCGCACAGGACACATTAAATATAGATCGCACAGGACACATAAAATATAGATCACACAGGACACATAAAATATAGATCACACAGGACACATAAAATATAGATCACACAGGACACACACAAAACATAGATCACACAGGACACATAAAATATAGATCACACAGGACACACAAAATACAGATCATACAGGACACATAAAATATAGATCACACAAGACTCTCAAAATATAAATCACACATGACACACAGAATTTATAGATCACACAGGACACATTAAATATAGACCACACTGGGCACATAAAATATAGATCACACGGGACACATAAAACATAGATCACACGGGACACGTAAAAAAGATCACAAAGGACACACAAAATACAGATCACACAAAATATAGATCACACATGACACATAAGATATAGATCACATAGGACACATTAAACATAAATCACACAGGACACATAAAATATAGGTCACACATGACAGATACAATATAGATAACACAGGACACATAAAATATAGATCACACAGGACACATAAAATATAGATTACACATGTCACATAAAATATAGATTACACAGGACACATAAAATATAGATCGCACAGGACACATAAAATATAGATCGCACAGGACACATAAAATATAGATCACACAGGACACATAAAATATAGATTACACATGTCACATAAAATATAGATTACACAGGACACATAAAATATAGATCGCACAGGACACATAAAATATTGATCACATAGGACACACAAAACAGTTACCAGTAAAGCATGGAAAGATGGGGATGGGTAAATGTATCACATTATATACTTATTATAACTTTGAGATCTTACGATTCTCTTTGGCAGACATTAAACATTTTTATAATTCAAATAGGTCACAGGCCGGACAGAAGTATAACATGTTTATTTATATTTATTATGCAATTGACTGGAAAGAAACACAAATGATGGAATAATAAATGTCATCTAAAGAGTACATAAGTGATGTTTAAGTAATGATATAACATATGTACAGAGATATTGACAAAGGTAACCTAAACGCTTCATTTGAGCACAAATTGCGCATTCATGTATCTACTGTATTAACTATTTCATGGAAATACCACCGGCTTTTTTAAGTAACCGTTTAGCATCATATTCCTAGATAACATTTTATTATCTCATCATAATTACAAGTTTTTCTTACAAGAAGGTCTGCAATAGTTTGAAGTATTTTTTTTATATATCAAAGATACATAGCGTCGGTCCTATAATGTAAGGTTACCAAAAATATACATAGCGTTGATTCTTTAATATATTGTTACCAAAAAACATCATCATATACATAAAGAGTATATATGTCTAAATGTGTAGAAATTCTTCTAACAATCAAGATTAGTGTTTCAGTGTTTATACTTCAACATTTCTCAAATTTAATGATCATCCTAAATCTGTATCTATTTATCAGTTTACACTATTGTTATTTTTTCTACTGTACATTTTTGTGCACCTCCGTGTAAATTATTTAAGTGTTTGAACATTTTTCAAATCATGTGTCGTGAAGGCTCTGTAACATTATGAATGGAAGTTTTGAAGATTGTCTTTTCTGTTTTTTAATTTATCATTTTTTATTTTCTTTAACTTTGTGTGATTTAACTTTGTGTGATTTTATGCGGTCATTCTCCTGCTTTCCTTCATTTATTTTCCCATTCTCTGTCTCATTATCTGATTTATATTTCTGTTTTTTCCGACTACCCATTTCCATTATTCCACACGAAGATAATGTTGTCGTCGAAAATATGCCAACTTTGCCAGCAATACCAATTCCCGCAGCTCCTGCTGACTGTAAAATAGCCAAGACACCTAGAAAATATGAATGTTTCTGTAATAAAATTCGCTTGTTTGCTTACGGGTCTAAAACATCAACATAAATTTGTTTACAGTTATTAAATATGCAAAGAAGTAAAATGTGTAGTTTCCACGAGACTGTTGCTATGTTTCACTGGACACAAATATAAACACCCCTATTATCACACCCGTGCAGGAGATCTTGGTTTATATACATGTTCTGCATACTGCAACCTGTCATAATGGAAACATTTCTAGGTATCACTAATAAGTAATAGAAAGAGCATCTTAACACAAGGCTATCTGATTTGTACGAGGGGGCTGAATAAGTCCATAATCAAACCTCAGGTCCTCAACTACACATGCTGACCAACATAGCTGTAAAGTTTCATGATTTTAGGGCAAATAGTTGGGATTATGCGAGACACAAGTTGAAAATTGCAAATTTTACTACTAAGTTAAGGGCAGTTACTCAACAAATTCTGAATTAATCCACAAACAAAACATCAAGTGTACAACAATACATGCTGACCAACACTTTTACTCTAGGTCAAATATGTTTTGAGCTATGCGCGACACAAATTGAAAACTGTCATTTTTGGCTCGAGAGAGCTGTCCTACTCGCCGCGGTGTCGGCGTCCGCGTCCAGATTTCAGATTAAAGTTTTGGTGCAGTAAAATATTTTTCACTATAACTTTTCCATTTCTTAAGGTATCAACTTCATACTTCAAATATATGTTCCTTATCATAAACCACATGTTATGTGACAAGGTTCATAACTCTAGCACCAATATTTTTTTATATTTATCTCCCCTTGAACTTAGAATTGTCCTTAAAAATACTATTATATACAGTTACTTATTTATTTCTTAAGGGATCAACTTCATACTTCAAATATATGTTCCTTATCATTAACCGCATGTTATGTGACAAGGTTCATAACTCTAGCATCAATATTGCAAGAATGATCTCCCCATTAACTTAGATTTTTCTTACTTGAAAAATGTTATTTTTTACTATAACTTCTTTAGTTTTAAAGGTATCTACCTCGCACTTCAAATACTTATTCATTATCATTGATTACATCTTATGTGACAAGGTTCATATAAGTCTTGAAGCAATATTTTCAGATGTATCTATCTTTGAACTGAGGATTTTCTTTAAGAAATATTATAACTTCTTTACTTTTGAAGGTATCTGCTTCAAACCTCAGAAATATATTTCTTATCATTACACACACGTTGTGTGACAACTCTAGCGTGACTATTTCCAGAATTATTCCTCCTTGAACTTGGAATTTATGTTAACAAATGTTATTTTTTTACTATAACTTAATACATAATTATACACAATTGATTTTTCTTTTCTAGTTTTGTCTTCCGGACTGCGTTCAGTATTTTATTAGTCGAGCTTCGCTGTCTCCTGTGACAGTTCTTATTTACTTAGTCAAGGGTAATAATTCAGACAAAACTAAATTAATCAACACGCGAAACTCCGGATGCACAATTTCACATGCTGATCAATATTCCTGTAAAGTTTGTTGACTCTAGCTCAAGCACTTTTTAAGCTACACGTGAACAAAATGGGAACAAAGCACAAAAAGTAGGGGCACTAAAAGATATTCTTACTTCCAGCAGGCACTGCTCCACCATACAATGACGCCATAGTAGCAGCTATTGAACCGGCAGCAATGCCACCTTGGCCAAATCCCAATGCTACAAGAACCAATGGTGCTGAAACAACTGCAGTACCACCAACAACCACCGCTGGTATAACTCTTCTTTTCAGTATGCCGGTTTTACCCTAGAGTAGAACAATGATTGTTCAAAAGAAATCAGATAAATATAGTTTATTAATTAACAACAGGTTGAGTGTTAAATGGTTGGTTTAGGGGTACTGGATTCATAATCCGCAGGTATTGAGTTTGAATCAGTTTTAGTTTAATAATATTTTATTGTATAAATATACACACAATATACAATTAAATAATTTTACAGACATAATCAAGTGTACATACAAAAGGGTTGGGCCAAAAGTTCTAACAACATTATCGTGGGCCCTTCCCTGAGGTTAGTCAGAATTAAGTTTATACTATTTGAATAAATTTGTGTGATATCAAATAATTTTCAATTTCAGTTTTAAGTAATTTTCAGATACTAATTTTCATGAACTAATTTTAACAAATGTTTTATATGTAAATATAAATTAATCAAATGAACATTTAACAGAGGTATATATATAAAAAATAGAAATATAGATAAGCATTATAATAAAATTATGATACTAAGAGTGATTAGATTAAGTTATTTAAATATTTTAAACGTATGAAGTATAAGTTTTCAAAAGTCAATAGTGTTCCATTTAAAGTTATTTATAGCTTTTGAATTACGTGTTCTAAGTATCAAATTTTGAGAAAAAGGAATAAATAATAGAATGAAATAACAAAATTATTGTATTTGTTACAAAAATTGAAAAAAAAAAAATTTAAAAAATATATACTATTAATAAATAAATAATAAATACAAAAAATATTCACCGCACAAAACCCTGCCTAATCTTAAAGTACTGTTTCAGCAGTAAAATATTTGATTTTATTCAATTAAATCTCTTGCTTGATTTAATAAAAATCTGTACTTCTTTAAAAAGAATTTCATTTTCGGATTCAGATCGCCCTTCTATTCCAAACAAAAGTTTTCGTACACTCAGAGGATGAAAAGATCTTGTATTTAAAAACAATGTTCTTCTTTGTTCACTGTATAAATTGCATTTAAAAAATAGTGTTCTGAATTTTCAATAAGTGCTCCACATATACAAGATGGACTTGAAACAATGTGATTATCATATAAATCCGAATTAAGGTTACTGCAGTTTTTCTTAAACTAGTATGATGTACAGTAGAGAAGCGTTCACCTTTAATGAAAAATGCAGGGACCGATGGGGATTTAAATATTTTTTTAATATTTGCTTTAAAGGAATGGAGGGAATCTGATTCACGTATATTAATTGGAAGTTTATTCCATAGTTGTAGTGCTGATGGTAAAACGGATTTCGAATAAATTTCTGTTTCTTCTGACAATTGATGCGTAGTCTTGATTGTTTCTTAAAGAATATGGGTTTTTCATGTGCATATTGTACAGATGGGGGAAATAATTGTATTAAATAAAGTGGTAATAAATTGTTTTTTGCCTTTGTATATAAAACTAATTTTTGAATATGTCTCCTATCTGAAAGCGAAAACCCAACCTATTTCTGTTAATAATTTTTGTATAGTAACGGATCTTGTCAATCCCTGTAACAACACGGGCAGCTTCATATTGAATTTTTTCTAATGTATCTTTCTCGTATTGCGCACAGTTTATCCCAGACTAAAGACGCGTATTCTAAATGTGGACGTAAATATGATACATATATATTATTAAGTGATTCTCTTTTAATTTTGAATTTGAGCATTTTCATGGAACCGAGTATTTTAGAGGCTTTAGATACTATGTTGGATATATGTTGATGCCAAGACCCATCTTGACTAAATGTGACCCCAAGATGTTTATGATGTTCGACAAAAATTGAGTTGTACATTATCGAAGAATAATTTTGGTTTGATCATATTAAAAAAAGAAAAAAAACATTGCTTCGGTTTTTGCCGATTGAAATTGACTAACCATTGCTTAGACCAACTTGTTATTGTCGCTAGATCCCTGTTTAACGTTTCTTCCATAAAGGTTATGTTTTTTGAGGACTCAGAAAGAGAACTGTCGTCTGCGAAAAGTCTAGTAATACTTAAGAGCGAGTCTGCTATGTCATTGACATAAATTAAAAATAATAAGAAGGACCAAGTACCGAACCTTGAGGGACGCCCCCTTCTAGAGTTGATAAAGAAGAAAATGTCGAAGATACAAAAACTTTTTTGTTTGAAGTTTGAATCACATAAGAGATGAAATTCTCTTTCGGCTTTCTCAACTCCCTTTGTTTATTTTTCTTTGTTGCTTTTTTAATGTTATTACACCGTCTTTAACACATGAGGTCATATCTCGGTGGTTGGTCCAACTAACCCAGGCTTTCCTGGAGAACTTACCAGTATAATTACCAATATCTCCAACAAGTAATTACCGACTACATCAACTAACCGGCTTTCCCTGGAGAACTTACCAGTAATTACCAATATCTCCAAACAGTAACCGACTACATCAACTAACCGGCTTTCCCTGGAGAACTTACCAGTATAATTACCAATATATCTCCAAACAGTAACCGACTACATCAACTAACCGGCTTTCCCTGGAGAACTTACCAGTAATTACCAATATCTCCAAACAGTAACCGACTACATCAACTAACCGACTTTCCCTGGAGAACTTACCAGTATAATTACCAATATCTCCAAACAGTAATCGACTACATCAACTACATGTTACCGGCTTCCCTGGAGAACTTACCAGTAATTACAAATATCTCCAAACAGTAACCGACTACATCAACTAACCGGCTTTCCCTGGAGAACTTACCAGTATAATTACCAATATCTCCAAACAGTAACCGACTACATCAACTAACCGGCTTTCCTGGAGAACTTACCAGTATAATTACCAATATCTCCAAACAGTAACCGACTACATCAACTAACCGGCTTTCCTGGAGAACTTACCAGTAATTATCAATATCTCCAAACAGTAACCGACTACATCAACTAACCGGCTTTCCCTGGAGAACTTACCAGTATTATTACCAATATCTCCAAACAGTAACCGAGTACATCAACTACATGTAACCGGCTTCCCTGGAGAACTTACCAGTAATTATCAATATCTCCAAACAGTAACCGACTACATCAACTAACCGGCTTCCCTGGAGAACTTACCAGTATAATTACCAATATCTCCAAACAGTAACCGACTACATCAACTAACCGGCTTTCCTGGAGAACTTACCAGTAATTACCAATATCTCCAAACAGTAACCGACTACATCAACTAACCGGCTTTCCTGGAGAACTTACCAGTATAATTACCAATATCTCCAAACAGTAACCGACTACATCAACTAACCGGCTTTCCTGGAGAACTTACCAGTATAATTACCAATATCTCCAAACAGTAACCGACTACATCAACTAACCGGCTTTCCTGGAGAACTTACCAGTAATTACCAATATCTCCAAACAGTAACCGACTACATCAACTAACCGGCTTTCCCTGGAGAACTTACCAGTAATTACAAATATCTCCAAACAGTAACCGACTACATCAACTAACCGGCTTTCCCTGGAGAACTAACCAGTAATTACAAATATCTCCAAACAGTAACCGACTACATCAACTAACCGGCTTCCCTGGAGAACTTAACAGTATAATTACCAATATCTCCAAACAGTAACCGACTACATCAACTACATGTGACCGGCTTCCCTGGAGAACTTACCAGTAATTATCAATATCTCCAAACCGTAACCGACTACATCAACTAACCGGCTTCACTTGAGATCTTACCAGTAATTACCAATATCTCCAAACACTAACCGACTACATCAACTAACCGGCTTTCCCTGGAGAACTAACCAGTAATTACAAATATCTCCAAACAGTAACCGACTACATCAACTAACCGGCTTTCCCTGGAGAATTTACCAGTAATTACCAATACCTTCAGTATAATTACCAATATCTACAAACAGTAACCGACTACATCAACTAACCGGCTTCCCAGGAGAACTTACCAGTAATTACCAATATCTCCAAAAAGTAACCGACTACATCAACTAACTGGCTTTCCCTGGAGAACGTACCAGTATAATTACCAGTATTTTCAAACAGTAACCGACTACATAATTTCTGAATCAGTGGAGAGAGACAATTACCGTATGTGATTGATTAAAATGAAAGGGTTTTACTAACCATGACATACGAACACACTCGAAAATGACCCGAGCATGCAACAATGTCACTTTTACCGGGTTTTTTGCGTTCCTTAATATTTCTTTTTTAATCTCTATTCGGATATGCTGTCTGTCTATAACATTAGTTTTTATACTGTTTAAGCATATAAGTAAATCATCACAATATTCAAATGATCAAGTATTCAGGAAGTCGATGGTATTAAAACATGCAACAACAAATGCAGTCCAAACATGTTTAAATTCAGCCTACAACAATTTTAATTTTGTCTTTCTTCAGGTTATTTATTAGTTTCCCATTTCACTATTTCATCTTATGGTGACTAAAAGGATAAAAGACGGAGGGCTGTGGTAGAGCAATAAGTAATGTTACAAACATAAATACAATAAAGATAATTCTTGAACTCATAAGTCAAATAACCAAAATAGAATTGGTTATTTTATTAGATCAAAGTGTCAGAAAGAATTCAGAAACTCGGAAACAGTAACTTGCATTTTCTTTCACCGTCAATGGACAGATTAAATGAAACAAAGCCTGTAAAATATTCAATTTGTTCATGTTTGGCGTTCATTAAGGTTTGGCATTTATCTAGTTTAGATGCTTTAATTAGCTGTAAAGTGAAGTAGTAATAATTATAATGATTTATGTTACATGTAACAACAATGTTATAAAAGAGAAACCTTTTCAGGACTTTCAGGGCCTTTGTTCTCATTGTTACTTGTGCTAGTAGTGTTCGCACTTTTTGTAAAACCTGCAAATGAAGGACAACACATCAATCTTTGACTTACATTTGCAATAATTTTTTAACACCTATAAAGCCACTTACTAAATGTGAATAAATCAAAGGACATGTAGAATATTGATAAACTGATAAATATGTTACAAACCCTTTTGTACCCTGCTGTGAATATCAAATATGATTTTAAAGACCCTGCTTTTATCGAGAATTTGAACTTAAATTATGGACTGCAGTGGTTAAGGTTAGTTTGTGCTAAATTCAACAATATAAATAATAAATGGTTAAATAAAGAATTTAGAAACATACAGGTGCTAATAACACATGGGTTTGTGGGTAACAGTAAAAATATTATCCGAGGAATGTACTGTTACCCAGGAGTTAGCCCAGGGAAACAGTATTTTTACGAGGGATGATATTTTTACTTTACTCACAAACCCATGTGTTATTTATTTTATCACCCCAAACAAAAACTGTAATTTATAATACTTTTTTAGGAGACCAGATTTTTATACTGTTAAAAAGTACTGTTACCCTGCCTGTAACAGTATACATTTCTTAGTCACGTGGTACACTTGCTTAAACAGTAAGAATAACTCCCAGTTGCCTATGGAAAATTAACATTACAAAAAAGTGAGGGGTAATAACACAGTTTGTTTAATGTATCATAACAATTACCTATATGTGGTCTATCTTAATGAAACACAGGCATATGATAAGTCAATGTAAATGTTATGTGTAGAGAGTGAGGCAATTATTTCATAAATAATATAAGAAAGTTAAGTAAGTAAGTTTATTTCAATATTCCATTGGATCAAATGGTACATGAGGATAAACAGACACATGATAAATGACAAGACAGTGTAATGCATATACATACAATAACATGTGTAAGTGAAGAAGGTATACACAAAATTGTATATCATCACTGAAAATAAATATCAGAATAAAAGGACATTCAACTTAAAACATAATGCTAAATAAATTTGTACTGTCTAGTAAAACTTACGGAGAGGTAAACTTCATACTTTATATTGAATTAATTTGACAAGATACTTGTATATATATAATGCATCGTATACATTTATATTCATATTTGCTCGAGTACGTGTATGTTGTTCTTTTCGAATCAAAATACAAGAACAACATAACCATTTGTCGGTAAATTGAGCTATTTAAATAAATTACTTACGGCAACACGAAACTCTTTCTACGTTTCTAAAATCACTTTCTAGAATGAAAGAACTCCGTTTACTTGATCTCGTAACCAAGGCAACATGTCTTGCATTATACAATCTCAACATTGCGAAGATTTTTGATACGAGCATTTAACTGAAAAAGGCAAACATTAATGTTATAACAATGCAAAAAATGTATAGAGGATATTCAAGTTTTGATTAATGCAGTATTTATTTTCATCGAGTGGTATAAAAATTGATATTTCAAAAGTGGCGGGAGCCACGAGTAAATTATGATAATTTTCATAATAAATCCTGTATTTAAAAAAAAAACTTAAATTTTCTGTTTATTATATAATTTACCTCTTTTTGACCTTACAATTTTTAACACTTCTACTTGAATTTTGTGTACTGGCTGAATTAAGAAGAAAGTAGTCCGGCAAGACACAAGTGAAAATACGGAAAATGAAAATACACATTTAATTTCATCAACATTTCTCAATACATGTATTTAATTTATAAGTATAAAATAAACATGTATTATATCAGCTTCTTAAATTGTAGTTAACCCCTTGAAACTGAGGGGTGTCGGTTTAAACACAGGTGAACGTCGCGTTGCCATGACTTACACTATACCCCCGTTCCCCCTCTACAAGCCAAAACCCTTAATAAACATCATCCAAACATCATAAGTATTGACAAAATTAATTTTATGGGGAAAAAAATTATGACTAAAAAAATATAAAGGTATTTTACTCTACTTTCATTTTGCATAGAAATATCGCTAGCATCTCAATTATCAGCGCATATAAGAGTATCCATCATTTTTTTCACCGATCTTAACACTCCTGGTGTCAAATCTTAGATAAATAAATACTTTTTAAGGAAACAACACTGACACCTTCGCTGATTGTACGTAGGAAGTAATATTCAAGCCCAAACTGTCAACAAATGAAACTGGGAAGAGATCTGATTGCACGGTTTCGGCAGTGGTTGATTCGGGTCCGGGCTTCAGGGCTGCAGCCCCCAGCTTGTCCCAAAGATACGTTTACCAGCTGAGTTGGAATATATTTTGTCAGTTTCAAACTTTATTGGCTGTAGTGTACTCAAAATATTTAATTCTGTCATCCAGTTGTTAATCTCCTGCCTGGGGGCTTGGCAGTGATCTTTATCTATCAACATGCTTGACTGACTTCAATGTTTAAACTGCATAATTGATTGGTTAATTACTTTCCAAAGGTCTAATGAAATTAATATCACAGATAGTGGCAAATAGATGTGTTACATTGTACACTATATTTTACTATCTTAGTTTTCCATTTTCTTTGCGAAAGCCCTATAATTAAGAAATTGAAAATTATTATTTGTAAATTAAAAAATGGCGAGTTTTATGAAGATAATATTAAAGGAATCGCATTTTAATAACTAGTTTTACTAATATTTTTATCAAGATGAAATGATTGGCCATTTACTTTTAATAACTTTTTTTGACATTTATATTTTTTAAATAAAATTTAAATTGTAGTGACCTCTGGATTCATTGATGGAAAAAATTCTTATTGAATATTAGTGTTTGAAATTATGTTTTTTGTACAATAGAAAGGCAGTATTTTAATAAGACTTTAATTATTCATATCAGAAAATTGATCAAGCATTTGATTATTTTTATCAACTGTCGTGCATACATTGGTAATTAAGTATGCTGTTATTTTGTAAATGCTTACTACTAAACACCAGAGGAATTCTATTTGAAATACCTTGCAAACACTAACCTATACAAAATATAATGTGATGTTAAACCATCCAAAAGGTACCATAAACAGCACAAGAAAGTCAAGGAAATTACACCATTTACAACCTCATATTTCAAAAATGTTTCAGTCTATGGGAGGGGACACCCCTCCCAGGCCCACCCCAATTACATATATTTTTCTTAATTCCATATAATCTAAATGTTTACAAAAAACATTAGCATACACATATATAAGCAAAGTACATTGCCACTCATAAGATGACAAATATGCATTTTATTTGGATTTTAAAGGCGTTTTGAGCTCCAAACCCCAAGTGTCTGTGACATGAACAAGCTTCAAACATGCACAATTTCCACCTGTTGCATTATTTTTATAAAAATCTTCCACCCATATATGTCAGCCCCCCCCCCTCTCGAAACCATTATCTGTATCAGCCCCTGTTCGGTATAACTCTCACGAGTAAAACACACTAAATTCACAGTGAATGAATATTTCTTTGTATTGCGTACTGAAAGTAAAATGGCACAGCAGATGTGTTTCCCTTGGCTTTTGTATGGAGTTGTTTTTACTCTTTTAATAGAAACTGTAAATAGGGAAACTTTTTATTTTTATTTTGGAAAACAGTCAGTCCTGCCTGCTGCGTACAGTTTTATCCGATTGCGAGTATGCGGAGTGATGCAATTACTCAAGATGATGATGATGATGAGTATTTTCATTGGTCTGATGTTTTCATGTGACCAATAGATAGATAGATACTTTTTATTCCTCCAATATTGAAGAGCAAAACATATTTACAAAACCGAACAATAACAGAGCATGGCATATGTACAATAAATTACAAATCATAACATCTAAGCAAACGTCATTTGTTATACAATTCTTTCAGACCGAATAAATATATGGAGATCGATATGCTGATATCTACATTTATCTCATAGTATGACATAAAATGTATGTAACCAGGTACGTATATTAATATACGTACCTGATGTAACACACTTTATTTATATAAAAACCACATCGTATTTGTATTTACTTTGCAAAAACTAGAAGTTGAATGACTATCAAATTATAAAGTATACAGGATACAAAATATATATTTAACTGCTTACGTTTAGTTTGAGAATTCATGTATATGCATATCTTTCTTCGGTTACTTCTGTCAAAATTTTACTCGAAACGAAATAGCAAAATGATGACTAAGTTATTAGAGTATTTAAAGGTACTCTAGGAATATAACCAACTGTAAATTGATGGTGTTTAAGAAAAGACGACAATCAATGTTACAATACCTATCATACTGTTATATAATTACGATGAATTATTTCCAACCGATGAAAACAAACAAATTATAAAAACAAAGATAGATAATGATAGTTTTTAAGAGATCAAATCAGTGTTTAAGGCGTTACGTTAATGTCTCACAATAATGCAATTATATATATTTGAACAATTTGTATAGGCATTTTGCAATACTATAATTGTGCAATATCTTCCCATCATTATCTGCAGCAAACTGAACAACGCGCCAACACTGACTTTCTATTGTTGTTGTTGTAAGGGATAAGAATATATCCATGCCTTTCGATTGAATTATTGCATCCCATAATTGTTTTCTCCTTGCAGAGTTTTTTGTACAAAAGCATATCACATGCGCCACAACACTATCGTTTAAAAGTTCACAGTTTTTAAATAAAGAAATATAGCTTGGTGTCAAACAAGTACCAATTAAGTCTAACAAGAAGGAAGCAAATATATTGTTGTTTCGGATTATGTCGGGCCACTTTCCATAGTTGCGATGGACTATCAGACAGAACAATCCGTTGTCCAGAGCTCTTGCCTTTTTGAGAGCAACCTTTCAAATCTATCATTATTCGCTCTCTGTAAAACAGTTTTAATCAGTACCGATTTCCAAGACTGTTTAGAAGGAAATATACCACAATTCACAAAAGTTATCAATACTTCTTCAAGATTATACTTTTGAAGCAGGCGATAAATGTCAGGGATAAATCCAAATATTTGTTTATCAAGAGAGTAGATATTGGTCAGTCTGTTGATAAATACGTGTTTTACCAAATATCTGCAGGGCAAACGACACAGTTGTCCGAAAAATTGAAGCTTCCTGTAATTTATGATAGTTTCAATATCATTGAGGTTAATTGCATTCAGGGCTAAGTCTGTTGGAGTTCTTGGTTTGAGTCCCTGAATGAATTTCGCACAAAACCTATGAGAAATCTCCAGCTGTTGCATATCTGTAGACGAGTAACTATTCCAAAGTTCACAACCATACAATGCACGAGGAATGACAACAGAGCAATAAATAGTTCTTGAGGTGATTGGGTTTAAAAAGTTGAGGATTTATGCCATTATTATGAATGCTAAGCAAAGTGCCGCGAAGTTTGTTCCCTGCATCAAATATTGGTTTCTTTGTGTTGAGGGTTTTTTCAGTCTCTATGCCTAAATGTTTATAACTTTTTGTTTCTTTGATCACTTCATTTCCTAATTTGAACTCACGATTATCTTTTGATTCTGTATCTCTTTCGTTATAAACAATTATTCCACACTTTATGACATTATAGTTATATCTCCATTGACGGGAATAGTTGGAGCATATATCGAGCATTTTGTCCATACCACATTTCGACAATGACACTAGGACCATATCATCGGCTACAGTTGGGGTTGAAACATTTAGGTCATATACACAAAAGCCATATCCACACTTCTCTAATTCCTTTATCAACCCATCAATGAAGAGGAGGTAAAATAATGGCGAACTTTTCCCTCCTTGTCTAGTTCCTTGTAATACGGGAAAACTGTCTGATTTGATACCCTGATACTTAACATAGCTAGTCACTCGTTTATACATTTCGACAATGGAGATTATTGTTGTATTGTCTACTTCACACTGCATCAGTTTTGTAAAATAATCCCGAATGCCAGACATTGTCGAAGGCTTGACGTCCATCTAAATAGCACACGTACAACTTAGAAGAGTTTTCACGGGCAAACAATATGCTCTCGCGTAATAGAAATGACGTCATCAAGCAACCAAGATTCTCTTGAAAAACCACCTTGTTGAGAACTAAGTTTTTCCAGTAAAGTATTTTTACATCTTTGATAACAATACCAGCTCGTACAATTTTCAAAATTACTGATGATAATGTTATAGCACGATTGTTATTGGGATCATCCTTCCTTTTAGTTCCCCCTTTATGTAAGGTTATAATCACGCCTTTTTTCATATCGTCTGGAATGTAGCCAATCCTAAGCATATGTGTGAAGATATTGGCTAGAATTCTAGAAACAATGTCTTTTGAGTAATTTAAATGTTCGTACACTAAATTATCCCCACCACAAGCTTTTCCTACCGGCAGGGTCTGTATAGCCTCAGAAACTGTATCTGGAAGCACGCGTACTGTTTTATCGGTTGTGATACGCCCTAGTGTTTCATTTACCGTCGCTGTCACTGACTGCTTCCAATATTCATCATATTCTTGGGATTCATTAAATGTATACAAAGATTGGAAATACAGTCCCCACTCTTTTGAAATTTGTTCTCGGTCTCTTATTATTTTACCGTTGAAGTTTATACCTTCAGTCATTTTACATTGACTCTTTCGTTTTCTGGAATTTACTACTTTCCAAAATTGAGTTGAATCGATTTCTGCTGCAGTTCTATCCAACTCGTTGTCCTCTTGAATAAGAAAATCCTCTGAGCACTTTCTCAGCATCTTTCGAAAGTCCCGTTTAGATGATTTATATTTAACGTAAAATACATTGTCGTTTCTACGTGGTCTCCCATCACGACACCATTCCTCGCGTAGCAATAGCATTTTCTTGTGTAAGGACGATAGTTCGTCATTCCAGAAGGGTTTTAAATATTCCTTAAAACGTTTCTGTGGTAACACGTGACACGCCCTGTTCAATAAACTAGCGGAAATCACTGTGTATGCTCGATCAATACCATCTTTATCGAAGTCAAACAATATTCAAGTTCAATAAATTCATTGTCAGATAATAATAAAGACTGATATTGCACAATGCTATCATTAGATGCTTTCTTCCAATTAATATTATACACATTATTGCTTAAATTTGTAAGCATGCTTAGTTCTACATATATATGAATAGACATGACAATAGGCCTGTGCCTCGATACATTTAGACTATTATCATCCATGATCTCACAATAAGACACAAGATCAAGCACTTCATTGGGTAAACATATATAGTCAATAAATGTTGAAAAACGATCATCATAAGAAACATATGAACATGTGGCACCATAACATGTTGGTAACGTATTCACAGCTATCAAGTTACAATCTGTTAAAAACTTAAGCATATAACTGTGACGAGATGTTAATTAAGCTATTCCATTGTGAATTATAGTCACCAATAAACATAGTCATACCATATTGTGAATACATGTAATACAAATCATATAGTTTATTAATGTAATTTACAAAGGAGTTCAGTGAATGATTAGTACATGGTAGGTATATTTGAAATATATACATATACTGGTTCAACCCAACTTGCAATTGAATACCTACAATTCTGTCATCGTCAATGTTTAATGGCGTTACAATATTATCAAAACGCTTATGCCATAAAAGGGCAACGCCACCTTTACCTGATCGAGATCTGGATAATTTATTACTCTTATCACACACAGCATGAAATATAGTCTTTCTCAATACTATCTAGAAAATGGACATTATCAGGTAACAACCAATGTTCAGATAATCCACAAAAGTCAATTTGTCCTTGCTTAAGCATACCTGCGAGATATGGTACACTCGACATTAAACCTGTAACATTCCATGTCATTATGTTTAAATTCATAGTGTAGTCTGTAAAAAAATGTTATTTTAATAGTACACTGGTTTAAGTAAGACTTATTAGTCACTATAACAATCCAATACTCCAAAGGGGTTTCTATCAGTAAAATGATTGTTAAATTGCGCTCTATTAGAAACACACGAATGATCAGCGCGAGCACGTGTCGAGCTATGTTCCCATGATCGCTGCCAAAATGTTCTGGATTTCCACGGTTCACATGACACATAACTAGGTCAAAACCTATCATTCAACAGTAAATCTGCACTAAAATCTGCAGCAACATTGACACGAACGACAACTCTATCTCGATATCTTCTCATAGGAAAAATTCTAATAGTATACACAGTAGGAGCCTGGAAAGGTCCTATCTCATTCGTCAGGTATCCGCCTTTTGAGATAAAAGAGTGAAGAATATTCCTATTCACAGATCTCCGGAAACCTAGCAAGCAGAAGTGACGTGTATATGTTTAGTTGTAGAAAGCTCAAAATCGTCATTGCTGGGTGTTACACGCGTATAACCTCTCTCAAGCACCGGTATTCGTTCTCCGGGGTATGTAGTAGTTTCTTTAGGCGCAAAATCGTTGTCTTGAGGCCCTGCCTCGATGTTACTACACTCTGCTACTCTTGGAACAGCTGACAATCCCAGAGGAGCCTCGTTTTCAAACGACATTGTCAAAGACTCAACACAGATAGCGTCTGCATATGTTGGAGGATTTGGTTTAAAACCCGTCTCTGTCGTCTGCTCATTTTCAATAGACATAACGGAAGAGGAAGAATCGACAAATTGTACCTCTTCGGATGACACACTGTTAAAAGATTTGTAGGTCGTGGGAATATTTTTATTAGCATGAGTATTTATATCTTCATCATAATACAGTTGTGCTTGTGGTATATTTTGAGATGCCAAAGGTGCTACAGAATATAATGAGTTTGTGTCTATAAACTTTTCTAGCTTGTTGACACGGTTTTGCAAATCAATTTCACATTTAACAAGAACCATGTCAACATGGCCATCCCCCGCCGAATGTGTTTGCTCATTGGAAGAATGTTTATGTAGTAGAACAGAATAATTCTATTTTAAGAGGTCTTTTGGTAATGAAAACTGATGGCTATAGTGATTACAGATTTGAAACCTATGTGAATACTGATGAATGAAAATAACAAAGGGCAATAACTGAAAAATAATGCAGGGTAGGTTATCATTCTTGTGTGCTGCATCCCTCCTCAGTAAAATCTATCCACCTATGAAGTTTCAAGTTGATACCTCAAATACTTTTTTGAGAAAAAAAATTGAATTGAAAAATTAAGTATGAAAAATAACAAAGGGCAATAACTCAAAAATTATAAAAGGTAGAGTTATCATTCTTGTGCAGTGCACACCTCCTGAGTGAGATCTATGCACCTATGAAGTTTCATTTTGATATCTCAAAGGCTTTTTGAGTTATGCTCTGGACAAAAATTAATTTTGAAAAATAACAAAGGGCAATAACTCAAAAATAATGCAGGGTAGAGTTATCATTCTTAAGCACTGCACTCCTCCTCAATGAGATCCATCCACCTTTGAAGTTTCAAGTTGATACCTCAAATACTTTTTGAGATAAGCTCTGGACAAAATAGCATAAAAAAAACAAAGGGCAATAACTCAAAAATTGTATAGGGAAGAGTTATCATTCTTGCGCACAACATTCCTCCTCAATAAGATCTATCCACCTATGACATTTCATGTTGATATGTCAAACACTTTTTGAGTTATGCTCCACTCAGGTGAAAAATTAGGTATGAAAAATGACAAAGGGCAATAACTCAAAAATTATGAAAGGTAGAGTTATCATTCATGTGCACTGCACACCTCCTGAGTGAGATCTATGCACCTATGAAGTTTCATGTTAATATCTCATAGGCTTTTGGAGTTATGCTCTGGACAAAAATCAATTTTGAAAAATAACAAAGGGCAATAACTCAAAAATCATGCAAGGTAGACTTATCATTCTTGTGCACTGCACTCCTCCTCAATGAGGTCTATCCACATATAACATTCCTCCTCAATAAGATCTATCCACCTATGATATTTCATGTTGATATCTCAAGCACTTTTTGAGTTATGCTCCACTCTGGTGAAAAATTAGGTATGAAAAATAACAAAGGGCAATAACTCAAAAATTATGAAAGGTAGAGTTATCATTCATGTGCACTGCACTCCTCCTCAATGAGGTCTATCCACCTATGAAGTTTCAAGTTGATAACTCAAATACTTTTAGAGATATGCTCCGGACAAAAATGACGGACGGACGGACGGACAGACGGAAGGTCGGACGGACGGACGGACGGAGACTATTTCTATATCCTCCGCCGAAAATTTTCGGCGGGGGATAATAATCTCACTCTGTTTTTTGCTCACAGCAATTTCAGTTTCGAGGACACTTCTACGCACACTCTGTTTACCCTCCAGAATATCGCATTTGATATTGTTCATCGTCTCTTTCACAAAGTTCATCTGTCCTGCCCGTAATTGGTCGCTGGCATGCAGGCTTTGACTCAGGAGAAGAACTTGAGCCTGTAATGACGATACAGTATCTTTGAGCAAAGCAAGTTCTGTCGAACACTGACATTTATTTTGAACAGAAGTTTTATCAGTAAATTACTCCTATCTGGTGTTGTGGGGTAATCATCAAGGGCAGCAACTGCTACCGAACGCCGTCTCGATGTACTTATCATTTCCTTGAGTAAACTGTAGTCTTCGCCCTGAGTAACTGAAATTATCGTATATATACCTTGGGCTAGTTTGATTGATATCGGGTCACCATTTCCCCTAAACACTCTTCGTTTTAGTTCTGCAGTAGTATAGTAGTATAGGGGTCTCTTTGGGGGCACGACTGCGCATGCGCGACGCCATATTGGATTCTATTTTTAGAATGACATCATCGTTCTATTTTAAGAATGACATTATCGTTCTATTTTTAGAATGACATTATCGTTCTATTTTTAATCTCCCGGAAGTATACGGAGCTGACTCGTATACAC